AACCGTCCACAGATTGGGGTTTCTTCTCGGGTGCACTTCTTTTTGGTTCTCCGCCCCAAGCCCGCCTCGGTGGGAGGGCGCGCCCGACCCGAGCGCAGCCATGCCGCCCGGCGGGCTCCGCGGGGCCGCCGGCGCGCGGCCGCTGTTGCCCGGGGGCCGGCCCGAAGCCACGCGGGGGCGCGGCCGGGCTCTCTGCTGGGACGCCCGAAAGGGGTACGGAAAGGAGGAGGAGGAGGAGGAGGAGGAGGAGGAGGAGGAGGAGGAGGAGGAGGAGGGAGGAGGAGGAGGAGGAGGAGGAGGAGGAGGAGGAGGAGGACGAAGAGGAGGAGGAGGAACGGCAAGGATGGGTGCAATGCCGAGCAGCAAGTGTTGTCCTGGACCAGCAGCGGCCGCTGTGGGGCAGGCGGCCTTCTGTGTCAAATGGACACAGGCCGCGGCGGCGTGGGCAGCGAGTCCGGTTCGAAATGAGCAGGGACTGCTGTTGGGCATTGTAGTACCCATTCTTTCCGTGCCCATGTCGGGCGTCCAGATTCTGGGCGTCGCGTGGAGCCCGGGCTCGTCTCGATGCCTCCGAGTCGAGTCGATTCGATTTTTCGATGGATTCCGATTCCGATTCCGAGTCGACTTACGACTCCAATTCGGATTCCGATGTCTCCACGAGGCCTTGCTGTTCTGCCGAATGCAGCCGATTCCACTCCTCCCGACTTGGCTGCCGATTTCCGCCGATTCGAGTCATGTCGATCCCCGATTCGACTTCTCGATTCGATTCTGGGCTCTCGGAGCTCACCAGAAATGATTGACTCGGGTTATGATGTTCCAACCTGCTTTAGCCTTCTGGGAGACTTCTGAAGAGGGCGAAGGCTTACGATGTCCAAGCCTACTTAGCCTTAATCACCAGAAAGAGTTTCGAGCACCAAGGAAGTATCGAACCTTGAGGGTTTTCACCACGTGTCGGGCCCTGGGGGGCGATATTCGTTCGACACTGGGTGCTCGAAATTATTTCTGGGATTCGGTCCTAAGTACGATGGGAGCAACATAAGTCTCGGGACGATCCAGGTGGGTACGAAGAGCACGGGTACAAAGACGGACAACACTTCCTGCTCTTTTTGAAGAGGGCTCGCCGTCGGTGTCGCCGCGGCCTCTGACCGCTTGAGACAGAAGGCCGCCTGCCCATCAGCGGCCAGTTGGTTTGGGACAACACGTGTTGTGTGGCATTGTACCCATTTGTTCCGTGCCCAGTTCGGGCGTCCAGAGAAGATAGTCCGAGGAGGAAGCTCGAAGGAGAAAACATGGCATTCGCATTAACTTTTGGCGCTCCGCGCCGATTTCTCGGATCCACGCCTGGCCCTCCCGGGCGGCGCGCCTGGGGCGCCGCCCCCGGCGCGCTCTGCGCGCCAGGGAGGGGTGTCCAGCGCAGATCCGAGAAATCCGCGGAGCGAAAAACGGGCACAAGGGAAGCGGTCCAGACCTCCAGGGCCACGCGTCGAAAAAAATTGGAGCCGCAGGATGTCTGGGGAGGCCCTCGTCGCCACCGCTGGACTCGCTTCGAAATCGTGGTCAGAACGCACCCCGGGAGAGGTCTGGGGAGTAGCGGTGTCGGTACCTTTAGTTTCCCCAGACAGAACCACCACCACCAGCTAGGGGCCTGGCCGCTCCCCCCCCCCGAGCTGGTGGCACCCGGTTCTGGGCGCGCCCCCAGTGAGCGCCCAGAACGGAGTGCAACCAGGGGGGCTGGCCAGTGGTAACGGAGTTCTATGGAGTTCCGTTGGTGGTGTCTTTTTTAGCTCTCATGATAATCCGGGTATGTTGTTTGGTCCAAACCATATGCCCGGACCTCCGATTATCTATTTTTTCAGTCACGGTGTTGGTCCTTCATCCTGGCCCACGGGGGCCGCTTCTGGGCCGTAGGGGGCATCAGAGATGGATCCGCGACGCAGACCGACTCCCGCAGAGGCGTTCGGCAGATATAGGGCCGCGGATTGAACAAGTCATACATGAGGATGTCTGAGTACGGTCCGCTGTGGGATCCGAACGTCGAACAATACCAACCCAGATGCCGTCAGTCGAAGAAGAAAAGACTGCACATACATGATAAAACACACGTTTGCGGCTGAAGACCCTAAAAAGTTTTACACTGTTATGATGGGGGGTCACGATGGGGGTCAACGATAGGGGGTGGCCACGATGGGGGGATCAGGGTAGGGATAGAGATAGGGGTAGGGATAGGAAAAGGGATAGGGTTACAAATATACGGCTAGGGACATAGAGATAGGGATAGGAATCGGGATGGGGATGCGGATAGGGATAGGGGTGGGGATGCAGGATCGGAGTAGGGATACAAACAGCAGGGATAGAGGCAGAAGGATAGGGACAGGGATAGGGTAGGGATACAGGATGGCATAGGGATAGGGACAGACAGTGGGAAACCGTGGGAAACAGCGGAGAACAATGGGGGTATAGTAGAGGATGGAGACAGGAACAGAGATGGAGATAGGCATGCGGAGAGGGAGACGGATAGACGATGGGCGACACGTGGAGATCCCGGGAGCCACTGGGATACATTTGGGAGGCCACGGGAGTGACAACGGGGAGTAACGCCGCCCGACCGATGCCTGATCTGGCCGCGCACCCACCCGTTTTTTTGTTAAGACATGCGTCGGCTGTTTGAAGACAACTTCTGCAGGGAGGAACACGCATCGAAGCGAAAGTTTGGAAGAAGCGCATCGAAGCTCAATGCTGTAGGGAACGCTTTCGCTTCTCCGCGGGGATCTCTTGGATCGGCGTTGGGCCCCCCTACTAGCGGCGCCTCCTGCGCCCCCCCCCCCCCCCCCAGCGGTCAGGGAGGTCCGCCCGGCGCCGACCCGAGACATCCGCGCGGGCCTCCAAAAGCTTACGTTTGTGCCATCCTCTGGAGACTGTCTTTTTAGGGTCGGGCGATAACCCGGGTCATCGGGCTTGCCCCTTCCCCCCTCCCCCCCCAGGATAACCTAACCTTGCCGGTTGTGCAGGTCCGCGGTAGGGGGGGGCGCGGGCATATGCAGGGCTGCCCACAGCGCGAGGGTTAGGTTTTCGGCCTGCCCCCTCCTCCTGCTCCTCCTCCTCCCTCCCCCCGAGATAACCCGGGTTATCGCCGATTCAAAGAGAAACGGTCTTTTGTTCCTTTGGGCCAGGAGCGTTTGCTTACCACGTCGCGCCGACGGTTCTGACCCGCCACGCTTCGGCGCGACGCGCTGGGCTCCCCGGGCATCAACACTCCGAGCTTTTCCCAGCCGCCGAAGCAGAGCGACACGCTACCAGCTTGCAGGGAGCAGGTTGCTGCAGGGGCCGGCGCCGCGGCACCACAAGGCAAAAGCTCGTCATCGTAAGCACGGGCTTTCTGAGGCCCGCGCGGATGTTCCAGATCGGCGATGGACCTCCTCCTGTTGCCAGCGGAGCGCGCCAGGGACGCCTCTGGAGCTGCCGCCAGGGGGCTCCGCGCGGGCCTCCGGAATGCCATGCTCAGTCCCCACGGTGTCTGTCTCTCGGGGATGTCTCCGACTTGTCTGCGGACTCGGACGCCCCCAACTTGGCCTCTGTGGGCATCACAATTGGTCGCCTTGCTGGGTGTTGCCAGACGAGGAGTCCCTCGTTGCCAGACGACAACCACGACGACGACGCACGAAGACGACGACGACGACGACGACGACGACGACGACGACGACGACGACGACGACGACGCACGACGACGCCGGCGCCGACGCCGACGCCGATGCTGACGCCGACGCCGACGCCGACGCCGACGCCGACGCCGGACGCCGAACGCCGAACGACGGACGCCGACGCCGATGCCGATGCCGATGCCGACGCCGACGACGTCGACGATGATGATGACGCCGACGACGACGACGACGCCGACGACGACGACGACGACGACGACGACAACGACTGAGGCGACGGCGACGGCGACGGTAACGACGGCGACAATGGCGACGGCGACGATGACGACGGCGACGGCGACGGCGGCAGCGGCGACGGCGACGGCGGCGAGGACGGCGACGGCGACGACAACGACGACGATGCGACGGGCTCCCCCAGGGAGGAGAAGAGGGTTGGTGAAGGAAGGTGCCCAGGAGCCCCTGTCTTATGGAGGCGGCAGGAGTCCCCAGGGCCAGCCGACGAGGGGAGTTCCAGCGGCTTCCGGGCCCCGGAGGCCTCACCCCAGGGCTCCCGCGTGCAGCGCCCTCGCCGCACCCCTGTGGATTCCGGCTGGCCAGCCGTCCGCTCGCCGCCTCGCTCCCGGGCGCCCGCGGCTGGCGCGCGCGCGGCGCTGCGCGCAGGCCCGCCCCTGGAGGGCTCCAGCGGCGGCGAGGCCACGCCGTCCGCGGGGGGGGCGCGGAGAGGACCACCGCTCCCCTGCGGGGCATCGCTCGGACGTGTGCATTTGTTTCTCGGCGAGGACCATCCAGCACCATCCCGGACCATCGAGCAAAAAAAACACGCACGAAACCGACAAATGCACGGGAAATGGACGTCCGAGCGACGGCAAGCTGCGGGCGACGAGATCTATGCGTGACACGTGCACCGCCGCTGGCCAGGCCCACGCGGGGCCCACGAGCGGTGCGCACGCCTCCCAGGCCTGGCCATGGGGAGCGTCTGCACCGCTCCTGCGGGCCGAGGCCGTGCACGGCCCGCGGCGGTGGATATGCGTAGAAGGTTTCGTCGCCCTGGCTCCTGCGCCCTCCCTGAGATCCTGGCGTCCCTGAGATCCTGGCGTCCTCCTTCTGCCCCCCCCCCTCTCTGTTCATTAAAGCTGTGCGCGGCCCGCTGATCTTCGACCGGAAGAGGTGCGCTCTCGACCAAAGGATCAACAAAAGTTTTGCCTCAGCGGGGCGAGCTTGCCCCGACTCGGCCCCGCCAGGGCCCCTGGCGGGTCGAGCAGGCTCGGAGGTTCGCAGCAGATGGCTAGGGTCCAGGACTCTGGCCGCACGATGTTGCAGGTTCTCCATATGCAGGCCTCGGGAAAATCCGCGAGCACTCCTGCCGCATTCGTCTGTCAATGCCCCCTTCCCCAATTATCAACGTTGGCGGTGGGTTGAACGAGCTGCGCTTCGACCGCGGTCTTCCCCGCGCGTGCCAACTTCGAGTTTGGGGGAGCGGGGGAGCGTCCACCACTCTGCCCCCTTCCACCGTGTAGGTCTGGTCTCGGGGCGTCGCGGCCTGGGCAGGAGGGCCGCCCCTCTCCTCTCCCCGGGGGAGCCCGCGCGGAGGTCGCCCGAGGGGCCCTCGGAGCCCTCCGGGCTGCGCCGCGGGCCGCGTGCGCCGCCGCCGCCGCCCGGTGCTCCCGCTGGGGGGCGCCCGTGGTGACGCTCGGGGCGAGCTACCCGGGCCGCGCCGCCCCCGCCGGGCTGCGGTACTGGCCGGACTTCGTGAGCGCCGCCGAGGAGGTCGATCGTGTTCTCATGCACGGTTTTGCCGACGGGCGCGGGCCCTCGCACCCCGTCGCTCGACTGGACGTAAGAGGGACCTTTCGCCGGAGTGACCTTTGGTGCGGGCACAGGTGGGTCCCCAGTTGGCTGAAGCTGAAAACGAAGCAGGAGCAGCGGCTTGCGCGCCCAGGTGTGGTCCCCCCGCGGCCCCCCAAAAAGCCGCGCACCAAAGGTCACTCTTACCCAGGGTCACTCTTGCGTGTAGCCGAGTCCCCCCCCCCTGCGGAGTAGATCTTGGCTGTTTTTGTTGGCGCCTGTGTCGAGCAGGTGGAGCCTCCCCCCCAGGACGCACGGCGGCAGACAGACGCATTGATAAGCAGAGGTCCGGAGGAGCCAGACCCTCGCCCCTCCCGCCCAGTGTCGCCACGCCGAATATAAGAGACCGCTCGCGAGGCGGAGCTGCTGGCCACGCTCGACCTCGAGGAGGCGTGGATGCGCCGCATCGGCCGGGCGCAGCAGTACTTCGGCCTCGTCTACTACCAGACCTCGCGCCCAGACCCCGTGCTGCAGCCCGGCGGCGCTCAGCCCGGGCCTCAGCGGGGCTGCCGGCCTCTGGGCGACCTGCCCGCGTGGCTCCTGCCGAGGGTGGTGGGCACCGGCGTGTTCGACGACAGCGCTCAGGCCGTGAACCAGGCTCGAGGGGCAAACGGCAGGGGCAGAGGTGACGGGGGGGATGCGGTCAACCCGCATATGGTACCAGGATGGGCAACCTTCCCACGGGTAACCTGGCATCCTTGCCTCCTCGGTCCATCCTTCACCACGCTCGCTGGCCGCGCCCCGCTCGAGAAGCGTAATGGGCGTCCAAGGCCCTTTGCATCCCTATCGCGCATCATGGTGGTAGGGGCCGACTGTGGGCTCGGGCGGGGTGCGTCAACCGATAGGGGCCCGACAGCCAGTCCACTGGCCGACCCCGCCCAGGAACGTGCGCTCCGCCATCGGGTGCCTACCGCCGACCTGTCGGCGGCGTATCGCCGATGCCAGCTCGACGTCTCCCAGCCTGAGCCCGTCCCCCCCCCCCCCCCGATTGCGTTCCACCTCACAGAGCAATACAAGGCATTGCATGAGCGAGCAGGCACTCTCGGAGGCCCTCGCGGAGCTCTCGGATCGGCGTTGGACACCCCTGGAGGGGGCACCTCCAGCGCCGCCCCAGGCGCGCTCCAGCTGAGGGAGAGCCCAGCGCCGAGCGAGCGAGAAGGCGAGCATCGGGAAGGATGCGTGGGCAGAAGAGGGCGATATTGGCAACTGTTCGTGGAAAGTATAAGGAAGGCGCTGCCGAGTGAATGCGTGCACACCACGGCCCGACTATGAAGCTGAGCATCGCATCGCGTCGCGACTGCGTGGCACAAGAAACCAAGCGTCCCACGACTGAAGCAGGAAGCGAAGTGCCCCACGATTGCGAAACAGGAAAGGAAAGCAGACGGAGGAGGGGGGGAGAACGCAGAGGACGAATGGGAAGATAATAGCTTTTACTCGTTTATGATGCTGTGCACAGGGGTCGCCCATTGCTGCCGTGGCCGCCCGCGTTTCTGGCGGCGTGCTCAGTTCTTGGGAGCGCCGTCCGCATCGCCTAAGATGTTTTTCCCAACCATCCTGTGGTGTTGGGTCCTCGTTTTGAAGATACGGTCCCCGCGTTCCTTCTCCTCCTTCTCCTCCTTCTCCTCGCCCTCCTCCCTCCTGCGTTCGCATGCCTCCCCACCACTCATTTCCGCACACCCCTCACACGTTTCGTGGCCCCATAGGCAGCTCCACCGAAGGCCTCAGTGGCTGCGTTCGCATGCCTCCCCACCACCCATTTCGGCACACCCCTCACACGCTTCGTGGCCCCATAGGGAGCTCCACCGAAGGCCCCAGTGGCTGCGTTCGCATGCCTCCCCACCACCCATTTCGGCACACCCCTCACACGTTTCGTGGCCCCATAGGGAGCTCCACCGAAGGCCCCAGTGGCTGCGTTCGCATGCCTCCCCACCACCCATTTCGGCACACACCCCTCACACGTTTCGTGGCCCCATAGGGAGCTCCACCGAAGGCCCCAGTGGCTGCGTTCGCATGCCTCCCCACCACCCATTTCGGCACACCCCTCACACGTTTCGTGGCCCCATAGGGAGCTCCACCGAAGGCCCCAGTGGCTGCGTTCGCATGCCTCCCCACCACCCATTTCGGCACACCCCTCACACGTTTCGTGGCCCCATAGGGAGCTCCACCGAAGGCCCCAGTGGCTGCGTTCGCATGCCTCCCCACCACCCATTTCGGCACACCCCTCACACGTTTCGTGGCCCCATAGGGAGCTCCACCGAAGGCCCCAGTGGCTGCGTTCGCATGCCTCCCCACCACCCATTTCGGCACACCCCTCACACGTTTCGTGGCCCCATAGGGAGCTCCACCGAAGGCCCCAGTGGCTGCGTTCGCATGCCTCCCCACCACCCATTTCGGCACACCCCTCACACGTTTCGTGGCCCCATAGGGAGCTCCACCGAAGGCCCCAGTGGCTGCGTTCGCATGCCCCCCACCACCCATTCGGCACACCCCTCACACGTTTCGTGGCCCCATAGGGAGCTCCACCGAAGGCCCCAGTGGCTGCGTTCGCATGCCTCCCCACCACCCATTTCGGCACACCCCTCACACGTTTCGTGGCCCCATAGGGAGCTCCACCGAAGGCCCCAGTGGCAGGGTCCGCATGCCTCCCCACCACCCATTTCGGCACACCCTTCACACGTTTCGTGGCCCCATAGGGAGCTCCACCGAAGGCCCCAGTGGCGCGGTGCCTATGAGAAGAGGGGCCTAGTTTGCGTGCCCCCTCCTTCGTCTCATATCCGTGCGGTACTCGCAGCTGCATATGGTTGGGTCCTTCGCCAGGCTAATTGACTAGGGAAAGGACCTGGAGAGCTCGCAATTCTAGTATACAGTGCGGCTTGACGCCTCTTCAGGATCTCAGACAGCGGTGTCGACGACGCTCGCTCCAGCGCATCACGGTTGCGAAGCCGAGAAACAAACGAACGTGGAAAACCAAGTAGACGCCGCAAGCATTTGCAATGGAAGTTGTCCAATCCTGATCTCTCTCTGCCTTTAACAACCACGTCGAATCCAGGGAACATCGAAGCTCACAAGCTCACTGAGCAGGAAGCTGGAATAAGTCGCAAGACATCCAAGCGGACCTCCGAAAGCTCCTGCTCCTGCCGCCCTGCTCCTTTCTCTACAGGTGCAGGCCAACGAGTACCTCCGGGACAGCGGCATCGGCACGCACGTGGAGGACCAGGGCTCGACCCAAACGGTGTTTGGGCGATTTCGTGGGCCGTTTTCGTCTTGAGCTCGTTTCGCGGCAAAGGCAGAACAGAGACAGAACGATGGAAAACGCAGACAAAACGAAAACCATCATGAACACTGTTTCGCTCGAGCCCTGCGGAGGACCCCGCCGCCGGGCCCGCCTTCGCCACGCTGTCGCTGCTGCGGCCCGCGCAGCTCACGCTGCAGCGCGCGCCCCGCGGCCGGCCGCTGCGCGCCGCGGAGCGCGACGCGCAGGACTGCGTCAAGGTGCTCATGGAGCCCCGGAGCCTGCTGGTGCTCAGCGGCGAGAGCCGCCACGCCTTCGCGCACGCGGTGCGGCGCACGCGGCTGGTGCCGCTGCGGGGCGGCGCGGTGCTGCGGCGCGGCGAGGACTACCGGAGGGTGTCGCTCACGTTCCGCGCCATCCTCCCCCACGAGTGCAGCCAGGAGCGCCGGGACCTGCCCGCGGGCGCTGTCCCCTTCGAGCTCCGACCGAGCCGCGCTGGGAAAGAGGTGCGGAGGAGGACGAGCTGATGATGATGATGATGAGGAGGAGGAGGAGGAGGAGGAGGTGTTAATGATGAGTAGAATGAGCAGGACGAGGACGAGGAAGGGATGTGAGGACGAATGGGAAGTAGAAAAGGGCGAAGGACGAGGATGAGGAGTATCAGGAGGAAGAGCAAGGACAAGTTAGCCAGGTCGAGCGAGCCGGAGGGCCTTGCCTACTCCCGCCCCCCTCCAAATAGCATAAGAGTTAATTATGGCACGACTTTCGTGGAAACGTAAGACTCGAGCAAGCCGGAACTCGGGTTCGCCGTCGTTTTTTGACGAGCGCGTCTTGGGTTTGGACTGTCCGGTTTTCGTGGGATGTTTGCAGCGGGAGCTCGCGTCAAATTGCATATTGGGTCTCGTCATTTTCATGATGGCCCCGTCAGGCCGACCCGAGTCCCCCGAACCCTTGTCTTACGTCTCCCCGACATGATATAAGAATTCAGGGAGGCACAATTCGGCATTGGGATTGCAACGCATCCCACCTAGCAAGCGGACGTCGCGCGCGCGCGGCCCGCTCCCGATGACTTGGCGCAGTGATGAAGGCTACGCAGCGGCGGGAGCGGCATGATTTCAGATGGGCGCGGCGAAGACGAAGCATGCGCGGCGCTGACATAGCACTGCAACTTTCACTCACAAACTGCCCGTCGCTTGGGCAAGGTCGGCGTGGGTAGTCATCTAGTGAAGCAAGGTGACCAACAATGGTGATAGCAGACCTCGGGGAGCCTCGTGTGGAGGCTTGGGGGGGCCTCTTGGGGCCCTCTTCGGGTTTTTGTTGGAGCCCTCTTGGGGCCCTCTTTGAGGCCCAGGGGCCCGTCTGGGAGTCCATTCAGGAGGGAGGCAGGAAGGAAGAAAAACAGGAGGAGAAAGAGGAGGATACTTCGCATATGCTCTGTCGTGAGAGCGTTTTGCATGAGCCTTGGAGCCTTGTAGCCATCTTGGGGTCGCCTTAGGGCCCTCTTGGCGGTGATCACGACTGCATCGGCGATGACGACGGCTGCGACCCTGCGATCTTGGCGTCGCAATTTTTCCCAACAGGCGAACTCCCATTGTTTCGGGACCTGGGGCCAACACGAATCGGTCCAGTTCGAAGCATGCCGCAGAAGCCTGGTGACCCAGGCTCCAGCCGAGTGTCATCCACGATGATGCAATTTGTTCGTACCGTCGGATCTCAGGGGACGACGACGGCGGCGGTGGCGGCGACGGCGATGGCGACGACGACGGCGGCCACGGCGGCGGCGGCGACGGCGACTGCGACGACGGCGACGGCGGCGACAGCGGCGGCGACGGCGACGACGGTGGCGGCCACCAGCCGCAGGCCACAGCCCGCTGCGATCGCCCACGCGGGTCTCCGCCACGCCCAACTAGCTTGCGCTGCCGCGGCGTTGGGCGCCGCCGCGGCAAGGGGCAGGCACCGACGGCGGTCGCGCGGGCCGCGGCGTCGACAACTGCGCCAGCGGCGGCGGCGATTGCGGCGACGTCCGCAGACCTTCAACGCATTGGGAAAGTGATGCGGAAGTGTTTCATCGTTGTCATTCGGCTTCTGGGAGCTCTCCGGAGGCCCCAGGGGGGCCCGTAGTAAAGAAACACTAGTTACGTCGGACCTCTGGGTCTCTTCCGTTCCACCTCGCAGCCCGTCTCATTTCACACTCATGCCGTAGCTTCTGGCGGGCTGGGGGCAGCTCCTCGCTCCAGGCCCATGCGCCATTCAAAAATCTCGTAGACTGGTCGAGGCGTCGTCTTCTCCTCCCTCTCGTCCGCTCTCCGCCTTCTCCGCCCGTGCCGCCCTTGTCAAAGTGATCGTTGTCGTGGTCGCCGCCGTCGCTGCCGCCGTCGCCGTCGTGCTCACCGTCGTCGCCGTGGCCGTTGTCGCCGCCGTCGCGCGCGCCGCCGTCGCCGCCGCCGCGCGCGCGCAGGCGCGGCCGCCGCCGCGGCGGCCGCGGGGGAGCGGCCCAGGCCGCCGGCGCGGCGGCGGAGGCGCCCGCGCCGCCGCCGCCCGCCGAGGCGGCCGCCGAGGTGGGCACCGAGGGGGCCCGGCGGCGTCCGAGGCCGCGGCGGTTGGGCGTCGCGCAGTGGGGGTGGCGACGAAGAGGGGGGCAGCGAGGTCTGCAGAAAAGAGGCCTTTCAGTTATGATGGTCTTACCTACTGTAGCCTCGACCCCCAGAAAGATTTTTTCGAGCACCAAGAGAGCATCGAAGCGGGACGGCTTTTTTGCGTGGCGGGCCCCGGGAGGCGATACTCGTTCGGCACTTCGGCGGCGTGTCGGGCAGACACTGTTTCGGTATATCTCCGGGTTTTCGAGCGTATTTCTGGAATGTGGTCCTTAAGCACGATGGGAGCAGCATAACCCTGTAGGGCCCCCTCAAGGGTGCCTTTGGGGCCCGAGAGAGTGCACCTGTCTCCCCCCCCCATTCATCGCCTTCCCCCCCCCGTTAAGCGACGCCCGAGGCGGCGGCACGGCTGGGCGTCGGGGCCGCCCCCGCGCTTCTGGCACGCGGCCCTCACGGGTGACGAACCTCAGAGGAGGAACAGGCGCCCATACCGTTACCCTCCCCTCGGTTTTTCGTCTTCAGGGCCTCCGTGGGAATAATCAAAAATAGTCAAAAATATTCAGGGGACAATTTTTTGAATATTTTTCGACTATTTTGGAGCATTTTTTCTGCATGTCTTATTTGTCGTCGAAAATCCTCCTCTAGGGGGACACGCCCGGCTGAAACCGAGGCGCAAAGCCCCATGGATGCAGTCTTCGCGCGGCAGCCGCGCGGAGCCGCCCTGCACCCGTGGGGTGGCGCCGATGGGGCTCGTCCCCGGACCCCCTCCCCGGTTCTCCACCCTCCAGGGGAGGAACAGGTACCCCAATGCCTTCTCTCCACCCTCCCCTCGCTTTCCCCTTGGATCCGGGGAGTGGCGGTATTGGTACATGTTTGGTCTCCCCAGCCCTGACTCGTCCTCCGGTGCGAATCCAGCCGTTTGGCGACGAGACGCCTCCAGGAGGCCCGAGAAGGACGAGCACGCCTGGGAGGACCGCCGTGGTCTCGACTGGACCTTCTCCGAGCCCAGACCCTGGACGTCATGATTGTTACGTCCACCCCCAGAAGTCTGGAGCCCTTCCCCAGGACCCGTTTTTCGTCCCGAGTCGTTTCTTGACGGTCCCATGGCCGGGTAGTGGCCCACAGAGACCGAAATCAGCGAAAAAACTCCCATCGCGGAGCAGCAGCAGCAGCAGCAGCAGCAGGAGGAGGAAGAGGAGGAGGAGGAGGAGGAGGAGGAGGAGGCGGAGGAGGAGAAGGAGGAGGAGGAGGAGGAGGGGGGCGTGTTCCCCCCGCGAGGCCCGCTCGATCCCGCCCCTGGAGCCGGATCCCTCCGAGTACGAGGGGCGCCTGGAGGCGAAGGCTCCGCCGCCGACCCTTAGGGGCTGGTCTATGGCGGGCCAGCTGGTTGCCTCGGGCGCCTCGCATGACAGGAGGCTCCTCCTCCTCCTCGGTCTCCTCCTCCTCCTCCTTCTCCTCCTCCTCCTCCTTCTTCTCCTCCTCCTCCTCTCCGGTCTCCCTCCTCCTCCTCCTCCTCCTTCTCCTCCTCCTCCTCCTCCTCCTCCTCCTCCTCCTCCTCGGTCTCCTCCTCCTTTCCTCCTCATCATTCTCCGGCGGACCAGCTGGTCGGATCCCTCGGGCGCTTCGCATGTCAGGAGGACAAATATGGCAGGCTGGGCCGAGGTATAACATCGAGGGCGGTGTGGGGAGGGTACCCTGATGTTCGTCGTCATTGTTGGATCTTCTTGCGCATCTGGGGGGAGGGCAGCCTCGAGCGATCTGCGGTTTGGGCTGGCGGAGGGTTTCATATTCTTGAGGGATGTTATTCTGCCCTAGGTCAGACCGTCTCAGGTTGGGAGTTAGGAAGGTGGGGCTGGGAGAAATCATCAGGTCATCCGTAGTATCGTGTATGTTGGAGGTGTTTCTTACACAGTCATGCCCTGTATCTTCCCAACCCCTTCCTCCCAGTACGATAGTGGTCATTCTCAGTATTGCGGGGGGGGCAGGTGCACGAAACGAAAGTTGCACCTTTCTGCCCCCTGTTGTTTTTGTTTCCCATGGCGTATGTTGTTGCTGTTGATGTTGTTGTCACTGTTGTTGGTGGTGTTCGTGTTTTGAAATAGTGTTGGTGTTGTCGTTGTCGTTGTCGTTGTTGTTGCTGCTGGTGTTGTTGGTGGTGGTGGTGTCGTTGTCGTTGTCGTTGTCGTTGTCGTTGCTGTTGTGTTAGTCGTTGGTGTTGTTGGTGTTGTTGTTGATGCTGTTGTTGTCGTTGTCGTCGTTGTCCTTGTCGTTGTCGTTGTCGTTGTTACTGATATTGTTGTTGTTGGTGTGGTTATCGGTGTCGTTGTCGTTGTTTTTTGTTGTTGTTGCTGTTGTTGTTGGTGTTGTTGGTGGTGTTGTTGTTGTTGTTGTTGATGGTGTTGTTGTTGTTGTTAGTGCTGGTGCTGTTGTTGGTGGTGGTGTTGCGTGTTGTTCGTGTTGTTGGTGTTGTTGGTGGTGTTGGTGTTGTTGGTGGTGTTGTTGTTGTCGCTGTTGTTGCTATTTTCAACCTCCGGGGGCCCCTCATGGGCCTCGGGACCGTCAAACAACGACTCAGGGTGAGAAACCGGTCATGCGAAATGAATGGGTCGGGACCTCCTCGGGGGTCGACGCCATGAAAAATCACATAACCTCCGGGGTTGGGGCTTGCTCCTCCCTTTGCGCAACTCACGACTCCCGGCGCCCCTCCTCAGATTCGGCCCTTGGGCGCCGCTGCCAGGCCCGGGCCGATCCAGCATGGGCCCGCAATGGAGACTTGCCCCCCTGGGGAAGGGGTCGCATCAGGGGCAAGGATAGGGGGGGAAAGGCATAGGGGGGGATGCATCGACCCCGAATCGCCCATTGATCGCCGATAGGGGCCCGGTAGCCCCAACCTGCACAGGAAGGTGCGGATTCACTATCGGGAGCCTATCGCCGATCTATCGGCGATGTATCGCCGATTCCGGGTCGATGCATCCCCCCTTATGCCAGTCCCCCCCTATCGTTGCCCCTCCTCGCAGGGGTGTCGGCGGTTCGGTCGGCCTCGCCGGAGGCCAGGCGGGGGCGGCTCCGCCAGCAGAAGCTTGGCGTGGGCAGCCATCCCACTCGAGGGATCGGCGGTCGAGGGCTGAGCCCTCCTCAGCTTCGACGTGGCGGCGCCGGCGGAGGGCCAAGGACCACAGCCGTCAATAATCTATCCGTGGTGTTAGAGTCGGGCCTGTCCCTCTACAGGAGGAGTATGAAAGAATAATAGAAACAACCGTGTGGGGACTATTTTCTTAATAATTTTGAAAATAGGCGTTTATTCCCAACATCCTGTGGGGTTGGGTCCTCGTTTTGAAGAGACGGTCCCCGCGTCCCCTCCTCCCGCTGCCCCCCCCCCCCAGTGGGGAGGCCCGCATGCGTCCGCAACACCCAGTACAGCCTGGCCGTGGTCCCATAGGGATCTCCACCGAAGGCCCCAGTGGGGATGGCCACATGCGCCCGCCACACCCAGCACAGCGCTTCGTGGCCCCACAGTGTCCTGACAGGGAGCTCCACCGAAGGCCCCAGTGAAGGTGGCCACATGCGTCCGCCACACCCAGTACAGCGTTTTGTTGGCCCGATAGGGAGCCCCAGTTGAGGTGGCCACATGCGTCCGCCGAGTACAGCGCTTCGTGGCCCCATAGGGAGCTCCACCGAAGGCCCCAGTGGGGGTGGCCACATGCGTCCGCCACACCCAGTACAGCGTTTCGTGGCCCCATAGGGAGCTCCACCGAAGGCCCCAGTTGGGGTGGCCACATGCGTCCGCCACACCCAGCACAGCGCTTCGTGGCCCCACAGGGAGCTCCACCAAAGGCCCCAGTGGGGGTGGCCACATGCGTCCGCCACACCCAGTACAGCGTTTCGTGGCCCGATAGGGAGCCCCAGTTGAGGTGGCCACATGCGTCCGCCACACCCAGTACAGCGCTTCGTGGCCCCATAGGGAGTTCCACCGAAGGCCCCAGTGGGGGTGGCCACAGGCGTCCGCCACACCCAGTACAGCGCTTCGTGGCCCCATAGAGAGCTCCACCGAAGGCCCCAGTGGGGGTTGCCACATGCGTCCGCCACACCCAGTACAGCGTTTTGTTGGCCCGATAGGGAGCCCCAGTTGAGGTGGCCACATGCGTTCGCCACACCGAGCACAGGTTCGTGGCCCCATAGGGAGCTCCACCGAAGGCCCCAGTGAAGGTGGCCACATGCGTCCGCCACACCCAGTACAGCGTTTCGTGGCCCCATAGGGAGCGCCACCGAAGGCCCCAGTGGGGGTGGCCACAGGCGTCCGCCACACCCACCCACAGGGAGCTCCACCGAAGGCCCCAGTGGGGGATGCGTCCGCTATACCCAGTACAGCGTTTCGTGGCCCCATAGGGGGCTCCACCGAAAGCCCCAGTGGGGGTGGCCACATGCGTCCGCCACACCGAGTACAGCGCTTCGTGGCTCCATAGGGAGCTCCACCGAAGGCCCCAGTGGGGGATGGCCACATGCGTCCGCCACACCCAGTACAGTGCTTCGTGGCCCCATAGGGAGCTCCACCAAAGGCCCCAGTGGGGGTGGCCACATGCGTCCGCCACACCGAGTACAGCGTTTCGTGGCTCCATAGGGAGCTCCACCGAAGGCCCCAGTGGGGGTGCCCGCATGCATCCGCCACACACAGGACAGCGCTTCGTGGCCCCATAGGGAGCCCCAGCGAAGGCCCCAGTGGCACCGCCCGCATGTGTCTCCCCCTCCCAGTACAGCGTTTCGTGGTCCCACAGGAAACTCTACCGAAGGCCCCAGTGGCACCGCCCGCATGCCCCCACCCTACCCCACCCATTACGGCGCGCCCCTCACGCGTTTCGTGGTCCACCGAAAGCGGCACCCACAACCCGGTACCCGCACTGCGCCCCGTCGCCGCCGGGCCCTGGCGCAATAGTCGTCGCAGACCCTGCCGGCGGAGCTGCCCGCGCCCCAAGTTCCCGGTGTGACACGTCCCCCTGAGCGGCCCTCGCCTCTCCTCCCCTCCTTCGGCCGCCCTCCCTGCCTTCCCCCTTTTTCCTGCCTTGCGGCACGGTTCGATCCAACTGTGTCCCCGTCTATCTAGCTCCTCCAGCGCAGTTGCTCTGCCCAGCCGCCGACGTAGAAAAGTGTATCGTTCGCTCGTCAACCTCCTCTCTGGCACGGGGCACAAGCGGGTGCTTGTGGCGGTCGGCGGGCGGGGCCTGCTTGTGAACCGCCACGTCCCCGCGCCTCGTCCCGCCCAGTCTCCAGCGCTTGGCCCTCGCCGCTCGTGGCGCCCGCGGGCCCTCTCCGGACGCCATCCCCCCGGAGCCCCCTCTCGCCCTTCGGCCGCTGCCCTCCAAGGGGCGGCGGCGTGGCGCAGCCGCCTCGGCCCTGGCACCGCGGGCGGGATTTTTGTTTTGGTGTATTGATTTGTTATTGTTTTTTCCTCGGTGCGGGAGCCGCCCGAGCAATGGTCCTGGCAGCCGTGGAAGAGGAGGTGGACGGTGGAGACAGGGGTGAGGAAGCGACCCGCGAGGGCCACGGGCCCCATTCAGGCAAGCTGAGGTTCTGCAGCGAGGCCTTGGCACTAGCTGTGCGGCAGCGGCAGTGGAATCGAACCAACAAAAAAAAACGCGGCGCGTGGCGCCCTGGCAGTACCCAGAGATCCGATGCCGTGATTTGTTCAATGCAGGGCCCCCAGAGGTCTCGACCCATTCCCCAGGACCCATTTTTCATCCTGGGCCGCTTTTTGACGGTCCCGGGGCCCAGCGAGTTCCCCTAGATCGGTTACACGTAAGAGTGCCATTTCGCCGGAGTGACCTGTGGCTTGCGCGCCTGGTCTGTGTCCCCAAAAGCCCTGCCCAGGTCATGTACCCAAGGTCATTCTTGCTCTGGGCCACTCTTGCGTGTAGCCGACTAAGGCCGAAACTTGCGGATAACCTCCGTTTTGTTTTCCACCGCCCACCAAGAAACCCCAACCCAACCCGAAGGCCCAAATTTCCCTTCCATTTCCAGTGGGTGGGGGGGGGGGGGGCGGGCCGGGGGTCGGGGAAACATTGAAAAAACGTTTGTGGAACCCGCATCCCCCCCAACCCGGAATTCGGGTCTTCGGGTTAGGTTGGGGTGGCCTTGTAGGTAGTCTTGATTTAATACGTTGGATCTTTGGAGGTCTGGACCCATTCCCAGGGACCGGTCTTTCATCCCGAGTCGTTTTGGATGGTCCCGAGGCCCGGTAGGCCTGAAAATAGCGAAAAAATGCCCGGCGTGATTTTCTCATGACTCGAGGGGGTCTGGGTATTGATTTCTGCGCTGGGTATCTGGGGTTATGGGCGCGGAGGGTGCCTTGCGCGGCCGGTGGGCGGGGCGGACAGTCGCGTCCGCGGCGGAGCTGCACCGCAGGATTCGGGATTTTGTCCGGGTCTACGAGGGGGGTTGTGCGCAGGCTTTTCGTGCCTGTGTCCAGGTTTCTTCCAGAACCGTGGCAGTGCAGCTTCTCTCGCTCGCGCAGTGCATTCTGGGGGGGGGGGGGGGGAAACATGGTCCGAGGGATGCTGGACAGTGGAAACCCATGCCAGGAAACCCCTTGCTGCTTGCTTCCAAGGTGCCCTTGGGTTTCTTGGGTTTCGATGATTCTGCCGCGGGCAACGACACCACACCTCGATGGACTCGGGCCGGGCGAAAAGGTGGGGATTGGGAAAGGGGGGGGTACGAATTTTGCTGCATGCAGCTGGTTTCGGCCCCACCGAGGGGCCCATTCCTCGATACATCGCCGCCTCCGGCGCCGGGAGGCGTCGGGAAGATCAGCCACGTGAGCTGATTATCAAACCCCCCTTTGCGATCCCTTCCTTTCGCCCGACCCGATGGACGTCCTGGGGTCTCCGGGTGGCGCCCTGCCTCAGGAGGGGAAGAAACACACAGACACAATTAATCGTCGATCCCCAGGAAAATATGGGAAAATATGGGAAGTGGTGGGGAAGACAAAGACTCAGAAAATATGGGAAAATATGGGGAATATTTTTATTTGTGTGTATTTATTTGTGTGTTTGTGGGCCCCTTCACTGCCGCCCGCGGCAAAAGCAGCCGCGTCGGCTCAGGCGCGCAGCCGCGGTGCCTCCCCCCCCGCGGGGGGGTTGCGCGGCGCAGGCCTGCGGCGGGGCGCGGCCCCCGCACCGAATGTCGCGGGCGGCCGCCCTCGCGGCCGCCCTGCTGCTGGCGGGGCTCGCGCGCGCCGCCAGCGCGGGGCGTGGGCCTGGGCGTCTGGGCGTCGCGTCAACGCTTGGCGTCGCCCGGGCGCGTGCACACAGTCAGTCACCACCCACCAAACCACCTCAACCCAACCCGAAGGCCTCAATTTGCCCTCCATTTCCAGTTGGGGGGGGGGTCGGGGAACATCGAACAAACACGTATGGAGCCCGTACCCCCCCCAACCCGAAATTGGGGTCTTCGGGTTGGGTTGGGGTGGTCTGGTAGGTAGTCAGTCAGCCGCACAACGAGGATGGGCAGCCTTCCCAAGCTGTGGCCTTGCATCCTTGCTCCTGCGGCCCCTCCTCGGCGGCTTGCGCCGGCCGGCCTCGTTCGAGCAGCGTTCACACGGCCCCCCGAGGCCCTGTGCATCCTTACCGCGCATCCTTCTGATACGGGTTGGCTGTGTCTTTTCTCGGCGGGGACCGTCGAGGAGCATCCTGGATCACGGAGCGGAGAAAAAGCGCGCACGGAGCCGAAAAGTGTGCACGGGGAAGGGGCGTCCGAGCGGCGGCAAGAAGAGGGGGGGCAAGAGATGTGGGGGGGGGTGGCAGCGAGGGTTGTATAGAGAAGGGGCCCCTCGAGGGCCCCTCGAGGGGCCCGGTGGGGTCCAGAAGGGGGCCTTCGAGGCCCGAGCAGTGCACCCGTCCTCTCCCCTTCTCCCTCGCCCCCCCAGTGGAGCGACGCCCGAAGGCGGCTGCGCGGCCCCGGGGAGCTCCGGCGGGAGGCGGGCGCTGCCGCCGTGAGGCTGCGGTGGCCACACCTCGAGGAACAAGAAGTGGCATACGCAGAAGAAAGGGTCGGCGCTCCCCGCGGATTTCTTGGACCTGCGCTGGGGCACCCTGGCGGCGCCTCCGGCGCCGTGCCTGTCGCGCTCCGCGCGCCAGGCAGGGGGTTCAGCTCAGATCCAAGAAGTCCGCGTGGACCTTCAAAAGTTTATGTGTACGTCGTTTTTTCCTTCTCTCACTTTGCGCGATGAGTCTGTGGGGGTTCGTTAAGCTGCATAGTCGGGAGGCCTCATCTGTCCCCAGAGTCGGTGTCTTTTCTTGTTCCCAGCGCGGGCTCGATGCGGACCCGACGCGGATTTGGCGTGGACTCGATGGACTTGGATTCGACGCACGGGTTTGGCGTGGACTCGATGGACTTGGATTCGACGCGCATTCGACGAGTCCACCATGGACTCAACACGGAGTCGACGCGGATAGGGGCACGACGGGACCGACTATGCCCCCCGACGATGCAGCATCAGATATTTGGGACTCGGGTCGTTCTCCGAGGACGCCTTGGTGGACGGCGGGGGGCGCGGTGACGGACGGTGCGGTGAGGTCTTCAGGGACTCCGAGGTCGCCGCACGGTCTGTCACAGCACCGCTCCAGGCCCCCCAAGGCTGAGCCTGTTTTCCACCACCACCACCACAAGCTGGAGGAGGAGGAGGAGGAGGAGGAGGAGGAGGAGGAGGACCCCCCCCCTCCAACTTATGGTTGTGGTGGTTGTGGAAAACACGCCCGTCACCCGAGGCTGTACTCGCGCCTGGGGCGCGGCGTCGCGCGGGTGCTCGTGGAGGGCACGCCGGCCGTCGTCACGGCGAAGGGCGCCAACAGGTCTCGGGGGCAACGTGGAAGGGGGGGGCGGGCTCGGGGGGGGGGGCGGGCTCGGGGGGGCCGCATCGGCCCGTCGATGGCCCATGGACCCGCGGCAGGGGCCGGATGGCCTCGGAGGTGGATAGACCTCCTACCCTGATACGTCGATTGAGGAATTGGCAGTTTTCGGTTCGCGAGAGGGCGTCGCGGCCGTCATCTTTGCGGGTCCAGGTCCGTCGGTTTCGGTCCCAGGCCGTTCTCACTAAGGGGAGGTTTACTAATCGCCGATGGCCCACCCCGCCCAGGACCGTGGGGATCGAGAGCCTACTGCCCATCCATCGGCCAGGTGTCGCCGATTCCAGGTGAGCGACAGAACCCCCCAAAAAGCATGGTCGTCTTCACCGACACTGGCGCGTCAGCTGCCCGCGCAAGGTCGCGCGCAGGCGCCCTCGTCTTCCATGGAGCAGGCCGGGCCGGCGGCCCGCAGAGGCCGCGGCGCACGGCCGCTGCGTCGTCTCGCGTGTGGCCCCTTTCTTCGCGTCGCTCAGGTCGACGCTGCCCCCCCCCCGCCGCGGGAGCCGGTCCTCCCCCCGCCACTCGACTAGACGTTAAGGGTGACCTTTCGCCGGAGTGACCTTTGGTGCGGGCCCAGTGGGGTGCCCTGATCGCCGAACGCGAGGCGGCAGAGGCGTCTTGCGCGCTTGCTGTTGGCCCCCGCGCGGCCCCCCAAAGAGCCGCGCACCAAAGGTCACTCTTACCCACGGTCACTCTTGCGCGAAGCCGAGTAACGTTTCCCGTCGAGGTCCTCGAGCGCCATGCTGGCGCGCACCAGCACCGCGGGCCGCGCCTGGGCGCTCGGCTCGGACCCCGACGAGCGGGCCCGCGACGACTTCGCGCGCAGGTGCAAGGTGAGCGGGGGAGAAATCGAATAACAAAACAAAAGCACAGCATCAACATCATAACGAGTATACATCGTTCATGTCTGTTTTTTCGAAAATTATTTGAATTTCTGGGGGGCCAAGATCCTCTCATTTCTAATTTTTCGATCCTGGGCAACTTCCTGGCCACTTAGGGGCCAGGAACAATTAGAAACGAACACAATGAGAAATGAACACGATTAGAAATGAACGACGTGTAGGCAAATCCGAAAACAACACATACATAACACAAGCGTAACAATACACCGAACCATAAACACACATACGTAAATGGCATACCATAACCAGTACCAAACAACACAAACAACCCAAAGCACAAGTTGGCAACCAACGGCATAAGCATCAGCTTTCGACGGTCCGCGCGGATTTCTTGGATCTGCGCTGGACCCCCCTCCATGGCGCGCCTCCGGCGCCACGTGCGTGGCCGGAGGCGCCGCCAGGTGTGCCCAGCGCAGATCCAGAACATCCGCGCGGGCCGTCGAAAGCTTGTCTTTCTGCAGCTCTTCCTCCTCCCAGAAGTTCGGGCGAGGCCACGCGCGCCCTCGCGGCGAGAAGACGCAAGTATGGATCAAGGCGCGTGGTGCAGGCGACGGGTCCCGCTTCCACGCGGAATCGGCGCGCTGCGTTGCCGGATCAGGCGGCATTGGCCTCACGCTTCGGGGGCCCTTCCCCGATTCCACCTCCCTCCCCCTCCCCCTCCCCTCCCCTCCCCGCCGGGCTGTCATCCGAGGCATAGTGCGTGCGCTCCATCTTTACAACAAGTACAGAACGGCCACGGCCAGCCAGCCGAACGCACTGCTGGCTGCTGCCCGCGCTCTCGTCGCGCGCTAGCCAAATTCTCCGCCGAGCGCACGGCGGCTGAGCCTCAGGAGACCCGCCCGCCTCAGGCCACCCGCACTCTTCCTGCCTGGCTGTTTAGTCCAACCCGTGGTGACGCCGACAGCGTCATGTGGGCTGGTTGCGATGATTCTCCCAAGGCGAATCCTGGCAGGAGACACCGGTGTCCTTGCCAACCAGCCACCAGCCCACGCGTCCTGCAGGATGCTCGGCCATATTGCTTGCATGCTTGCTTGCTTCCTTCCCGATTCACTGATCCCTAGTCCATGTTAGCGGGTGCCCAGTAGAGCAGACGCGCCGTGGAGAGGGGGCTTCACGGCCCCATTCGGGGACGCCCAAAGGCTACGCGTCGGCACATGGCGTGGCTGGAACAGCGGCCGCCGCGACACTTCACTGGGGGCATTCGAAGGAGAAAAATAACATAAGCACAACCTTTCGACGCTCCGTGCGGATTTCTTGGGTTTGCACTGGGCCTCCCTGGCGGCGCTTCCGGCGCCGCCCCTGGAGCGCTCCGCGCGCCAGGGAGGGGTGTCCAGCGCAGATCCAAGAAGCCAGCGCGGACCGTCGAAAGTTTATGCTTGTGCAGTTTTGTTCTGTCTCGAGGTACGTCCTCCTGCCGGGTCGAGCCTTCCCGAGAAATAGAAGCCGCATCACTGGGGGCACACTCAACCCGCACAGTAAGGATGAGTGGCTTTCCAGGGCTACTCTTGCATCCTTCCCCGTCGGCCCATCCTTGGCCGCCTTCGCTGGCCGCGCCCCGCCCGCAACTTGTCGGCACGGCCCTCCAAAGCTGAAAGCCCTCCTTTGCATCCTTGTCGCGCGCCCGTGTCATACGGGTGGACTGCACGTCGTGCTGGTGAGCCAAGCCTTCCCAAGAGAAAAGTGCGTGCCGCATGCTGGTGCAGCGGAGCTGGTGCACCACGCCTGCTCGAAAGCGCGCTGCCTCGTCGTCCGTTTGTTCGGGGCCGGGGGCTCAGCTCGGCACCACCGCGCTGGCAGCTGAACTGCTCGAGCGGAGGAGGAGGAGGAGGAGGAGGAGGAGGAGGAGGAGGATCGAGGAGGATCGAGGAGGAGGAGGAGGAGGAGGAGGAGGATGCCACGTGCCGAGGCTCGTCCCTCGTGTTCGCCCTGCTGAGCAGCCTCTCTCAGGGGCCCTCGCCGCCACGGCCGGCCTCGCTCCGGGAGATCCTGGCGAGAAAGCAGCGCGCCCCGAGAGGGAGAGGCAGCACGGCAGCAGCGGCGCTGGCCTGCTCGTCGGGGGCGGCAAGGAGGGGGGTGAGGACAGGGGGGGGCGGGCATCACGTCGGGGGCCATGAGATTTCCTCCGACTTCATGGCGCCTCTTCTCAGTTCATTGCGTCCCTGCCCCCCCCCCTTGGGCCGCGCACACGCCGCCGGCCATGATTTGCGCCCCCCCCCCCCTCTTGGACGCCTCCCTCTTGGCTGACCCCGATGTCTGGTCCCCCGAGGTGGTGCTCAGCGTCCGCTCCGACCGCACCGACCTGCTGCCGCTGGACGCGATGAGGGGGTTCTGCGAGACTACGGACTCGCCGTTACAGTGCCGCATCCGCCTGGTCGGCCGCCTCAGGCAGGCGTACAACGACGGGAGCAGCATCTGGGACTTCTGCATATCGACCTACCAGTGGTTCCAGGACATGTACGGCATGCACTGCCCAGCGCAGTGCGAAAAGCTGCAGTGCAAGGCCACGTGCGAGTGGCTAGAGGCCAAGAAGGTAGTCGACGCCCAGGGAAAGGCCGTCGCGGGGGACCAGCTCAAGTTGGATGCTGACGACGCCGTCATCCAGTCGTTGAAGAAGGCCAAGAAGGAGGCTGATCAGAAGCAGCTGAACCAGTCAAGGGCGGTCGAGCAGGCTGAGGTCGACTTGAATCGGACGATAGCCAAGGTCAACGAGACTTCCCGGTACAAGATAGAGGCCGAGGAGAAGGTGACGGCGCAGAGAAATGCCACCAGCAAGTTGGAAGGCGAGCAGAGCGAGTTGGAGCACAGAGTCGAGGTGCAGGAGGGCCAGCTGACGGAGCTGAAGTTCCAGCTCGAGCTCAGCACCCAGAATGCCACGTTTGCCGCGAACGCGGTGGAGCGCCTCAGGAAGAAGATAGCCGAGGGGAACGCGAGCCTCGCGAGGCTCGAGGAGGAGAGTGCCAACGCCTCAGCCCTCCTCGAGACGCTTGGCGCGGACGTGGGGAACGCGTCGGCGCGCCTGGACGAGCTGGCCCGGCAGCTTGAGGAACGGAACGCCACGGCGCGGAAGTGGGAGGCGAGCAGAGGAGGAACAGGCTCGTCCTGGAGAGCCCTCGTCGCAACGGCTGGATCCTCGTCGGAATTCTGGCCGGAGTGCTCCCACGGAGGCGGGCCGTGGAGTAGCGGTGCTGGTGTCGTTTTGATTCCCTCAGGCGAAGGCGCGAGAGGCGGAGGAGATGTTGAGCGGGATGAACAAGTCCGCGGAGGACCTGGCGCAGGTGCAGGACCTGGCGGAGCAGCAGAGGGGGCGCCTCAACGAGGCCCTCGACCAGGCCTCCGACACCAGGCGCCAGATCGCCAGGGAGGAGAACGAGCGGGCCTCGGCCCAGGCGGCCCTCGAGCAGGCGGAGAAGCACGCGGGGGAGGTCGGCGAGCGGAAGAAGGGGCTGCAGGCTGAGCTCGAAGGCTTGCAGGGGGAGCTCGCGGCGGCCACGGCGGAGGCCGAGCGGACGGGGAATCTGACCCAGATGCTGTCGGAGGAGCACCACTCCAAGCAGCAGGCCCTGGCCGCGGAGACGGAGGAGCTGGCCAAGGTGGGCAGGGCCCTGGACCTCGAGGAAGGGGTCCTCGCCGAGGAGCGACGTCGTCTATAACCGATGTCCAATCCACAGAGCCACAGCCATTTCTTCCCCACCACCAGCACACCAGCCCCACGCGGGGACAGGTCCCGCGAGGTCCGTAGGGAACGACAGCTGTTCCGATTCATCTAACTTTCCACTGGCCGAATAACCGTGAAACAAATGTGCCAGCCAATGCAAAAACGGACCTCCCGGGTCCCTTGCCCTGGGGGGGGGGGGGGGAACCAGGCCTCCTGGGCCTCCTCGACGCCCCAACCGGGCGGCCAATCATCCCCGCGAGAATCCCAAGCCGCCTTCTGGGGGCCTCAGTGGGCTTCCTCGGGCCACCCTGCTTCCAACCGCGGTCTCCCTGAACGACCAGGCCACGATTTGGAATAGTTCGGGGGGCGTCTTGGGGCCATCTTGGGCCGTCATGGGGCTCTCTTCGGGCCATTCTGGGGCCCAGTTGGACTGCGTGGAAGCCCTTCTGGTGATTTTCGGGCCTCCTGGGCGGTCTCGGACGCCGGGAAGACCGAAGAACAGAGCAGCTCATCTTCTAAATTATACTACAAAACATGGGAATCATTTTGGGGGGCTTTCCGACAGCCTCTTGAAGGTTCTCCTTGGGTCGTCTTCCGGCGTCCAGTGGGAGTCTGGGGCTTCTTGGGGCCCTCGTGGGGCCGCTCGGCTGCCCTGTTGACCGATTTGGGCCCGCTGCCTGGGTCCAGCACGGGCTCGCAGGAGCCCCGGAAAGCTTGGGGGGCCTGCTGCCAGGGGCGTCCAGGGGGCCCCCCTGGGCAGCGGATCACGGGGTGTCCGTTCTGAGGGAGGGGGTGCCCCACTTCCCCGGCGGAGCCTGGTGCGGAGCGAAGCACGACGGACGACGACGGACGACGACGGCCGACGACGGACGACGACGGCCGACGACGAAGACGACGGCCGACGGCGATGGCGACAACATCATGCAGAGATGTACGGAGGCCCCTGGAGGTCTCACGGGGACTTCCCCCCCCCCACACCTCATGGGATGCCTCCACATCGCCGCTCCCGCAGGAGCCCCCCACCCCATTGCCACAGGGGCGGGGGGGGCGGTGCGCCCTGATCCCCCCGGGATCGGGTGGGGAGGGGGTGTTCGGGTCGTCGGCGGCACCCGGTGCGCCCATGCCAGTACGAACCCCCCCGGGAGGCCCCGACGGGAGGGGAGTTCGTGCCACAGGGCACCGGCACCGCCGACATTCTCCGAGCGCGTTCCACAAAGTGCCGACTCGCAAACATCAAACACAAAAACGCATGTTTGCGACGACGTCATGGATAGTGATCCCCCCGTGGCGAATCCAGGCCACTTGCGAGTAGTTACTTTGCGAGTCGTGGAACGCGCTTGTCCAGACATATATAAATATATAGAGATACAAGAGAATACACTTACATACATGTACAGACATATGTATATGTTTACATGTATACTGAATTAACTCGTACATTTATACATGTAGATGTACGTTTGCACATACGTATAGTTTCATACTTATATATACATATGTATGTACACACAGAGTTAGATAACGGAGTTGGCGGGAGTGGTCCAGAGCCAGGACTTGCACCCTCCATTGAGGGACGGGGTCCTGGGGGCAGCGTCTTCGGGGGCCAGGGGGAGCCCAACGTGTGCCCAGTGCGCCACGTGGCTGGCCCACGAGGGTCCAGGAGAGCTCCCAGACGGCCCAGGAGAGCCCCAAGTCTACTGAAGTCAGGCTCGCGACGGCCCAGAATAATTACTTCCAAGACGCCCCACCAGCCTCCCAAGAGGGTCCTCACGATGGCCCCGAGAGGCAGGCATCAACGATTGCGCTTAGGTTTATGACGGTTCTCGGCAGGTTCGCAGTTTTGGATGCCCAGAAGCCTTAGACGGTCCAAGGGCGTCCCAAGATCGCCAGACAACGGTCAAACCGAGCTCCAAGAGGTCCCCAAGACGGCCCACGACGAAGCTCCCACGAGCGCCCCTAAAAGGAATCAAAAAGGAGGCTCTCGAGGGGGCTTCCGGAGCCGTGCGCCCAAGACAGCCCCTACGCCCTCCGAGTTCGCCCTTGGAAGGCCCCAAAGAGCCCCAAGAGGGCCCACGACGGGCCTATGACGGCTCAAGAGGGCCCCAAGAGGGTCCCACAAGAAGCTCAAGATGGCCTAAAAGGGCACCCGACGGAACGCAAGGCGCCCCCCCCAAAATAGAAGAGGACCCACAGAGGATCCATTTTTATATATATATATATATATATATATATATATATATATATATATATATATATATATATATATATGTATATGTACATGTACATGGATGTAAATGTGTACATCTACACACATATATATATACACCTACATACATACAAACAAACAAACATGTATATACAAACATGTATGTGTATATACACATACATGTATGCATGCATGTATGTATGTATGTATGTGTGTATGTGTGTACATCGGTAAATGTATGGTCCCCCCTGTGATCATACCTCGCTCTGCTTCTCTGCTTTTTTTTCGTTTTCCTTTCTCTCCTTTCTCTTCACCCTATCATCCTGCTCCTCCTCCTCCTCCTCGTCCTCCTCCTGTCCTTGTAACAATGCAAAATCTATACCAGACAGCGCTTGGCGCCGTCGGTGGAAGGAAGCACTGTGTAACAGTGTATGTTTGTTTCTTGTTTGTGCTTGTTTTGGTTTGCAAAGCCACGAGGCACTGTTTACCCTTTTGGTTTTGCAGGCCCCAGTGCTCGCCGCGGCCTCCCTCGCAGCACGTCTCTCTGAGCCTGCAAGACCCCCCAACAAAACACACTGATACACAGTAGTTGGCGCCTTTGGTGCAAGGAAACGCTGTGTATGTTTGTCTTTTGTGTGTCTTTCTGTTAGTTTGTGAAGCCACGAAACACTCTGTGTTTTTTGTTTTCGGGAGGGGCGGGGGTGAGGCCCCGGTGCTCGCCGCGGCGTCCCTCGCAGCACTTCCCTCGGAGCCTGCACAACCAGAACAGTACAGATACACAGTAGTTGGCGCCCTTGGTGCAAGGAAGCACTTTGTATTATTGTTTGTTTTATATTTCAATGTCTTGTGAAATCACGAAACACATTGTGTTTTTTTTGGGGGGGTGCAAGCTCCAGTGCTTGCCGCGGCCTCCCTCGCAAAACTACTCTCTGTGCCTGCATACCCAAAAACACACAGCACACCTTGAATACACAGTGTTTCCTTGCATCCCAGACCCCAAAAGGTAACACAGAAACAGAATGCGCAGTAGCTGGCGCCCTTGGTGTAAGGAAGCGCTGTGTATCTTTGCTGCGTTTTAGCCTGCAGGCCCCAGTGCTCGCTCGGCCTCCCTCGCAGAACTTGCCTCTGAACCTGCAAACCCCCCACCCAAAAAAAACACCGTGTTTCCTTACATCGCAGACCAGGAAACCAAACACAACAAACAGACACAGCGTTTTCTTGGACCGGGGGTGAGGAAGCCTGGCCATTGAGGATTCCTTCGCTCAGATTCCTTATGAAGAATTCATTCGTAACGGCTCCTTGGCCCGGATTCCTAAAACTTAGTTAAGATTCTTTAGTAAGGACTCCTTCGCTGAGCTTCCTTATCAAGGAATCCTTAGTGACCCCCTACTACAAATTCCTTACATCGGACTCCTGAGTAAGATTCTTTAAGCAACGACTTTTTATTATGGATTCCTTAGTCCGTATTCTTTACTCACTATCCCTTATGAGGGAATTCTTATATATAATTACTTGATTAAGATTCCTTTTATGGGGTTCTCTATGAAGGATTCCGGAGGGAAGATTCCTTACAAAGGAATTCTGATTAAGGATACCTTGCTCAAGATCTCTTACGAGGGATTCCTTACTGAGTATTCCGTGCAAAGGATTATTCATGATGGTTTCCTCGTTCAAGAGCGCGTTTCTTCATTGTTTGGGGCACAGTGGGCATTATAGCCCCCGCACCCCCCCTATAACGCAACGCCCCTCCCCCCCAGAGCGCTCTGGGCACTGCCGCTGTGCGCATCTTGATCTCCATCGGCGTCCGCATACAAGTCCGCATAGGAGCCTGGCCCGCATTGGGAATCTCACGGGGATCCGCAGAGGGACAAGGAGGAGCAGGAGGAGGAGGTGGAGGTGGCGGAGGAGGGAGGAGGGAAGAATGTCGCATTCTATTATCAGCACTCTTCTGGCGTGGCGTTTAGCTGTCCGCAGCAGATCTTCCCCTACATGCTCGTTCTACCTATCCTGTGCACGCAGGCGCTGTGGTGTACACTGGCGCTGCGTGCGCGCGGATGCTGTGGTGGAGGCAGGCGTTGTGGTGTGCACAGGCGTTGCGGTGCACGCAAGCACTGTGGTGTACACCGGCGCTGTGTTGCACATACTTGCTGCGGTGTTACACATTCGCTGTGGTGTACAGTGGGCCTGTGGTGCACGGAATCACTGTGGTGCACAGGCGCTGCGTCGCACACGGTTGATGCGGTGTGCGCAGGCACTATGGTGTACACGCGCGCTGCGGTGCACGCGAGCACCGTGGTGTACATAGGCGCTGTGGTGTGCACAGGCGCTGCGTTGCACGCAAGCGCTGTGGTGTACACAGGCGCTGTGTTGCATATGGTTGTTGCGGTGTTACACATTCGCTGTGGTATACACTGGCGCTGTGGTACACGCAAGCAGTGTGATGTACACAGGCGCTGCGTCGCACACGGCTGTTGCGGTGTATGCAGGCATTGTGGTGTACACGCGCGCTGCGGTGCACGCGAGCATTGTGGTGTACACAGGCGCTCTGGGCAGGTCGCCGTCTACATGCTGCTCGCGTCGTCGTCGTCGTCGCTCGTCGATCGTCGCTCGTCGCTCATCGTCGTCGTGCGCGCGGGCGCGGCTGTGGTGCCGGAGCCACACGGCGGTGGGTGGGGCGTTACATTATCCCCCCTCCCGCCCCCCCCCCTATAACGCCCACTATCGCCAAAAATAAGGAATCGCGCCCCAGGATTCCGTAGTTCTGATTCCTTGTGAAGGAGTCCGTTTTTTGTTTGATATTCTTTGTCAAGAACGTCTTAATTCAGATTCCAAATTCAGGGTTCCTTGCTAATATACCTTAGTACGGATTCAGAAGGATTATCTGGTAATTATTCCTTAGTCTGTACTTCTTAGTTCAGTTTCCTTCTTCGGGATTCCTTAGTGAGGATTTCTTATGACAAAGGGTTCCTTATTTAGGACCCCTTAGTAATAATACCGTTGTAAAGATTTCTTGATAAAGGTTCTTTGGTAAATACGTCCTGGTAAGAATTCCGTAATATGGTTCATTAAGAAGGATTATTCGACGACGTATGACAGATTCTTTACGTGGGATCCGATGGAAAGGGTTATTTGTTTAAGATCTTTCTTAAGTGTTCGTTAGTACAATAATATCTTTCAATTAAGGGCCCTCAGTCAGGAATCCTTTGCAAACATTCCTTACCTCGGGTTTCTTCGTAAAGATATCTTAGGATGCCTTGGCAAATATTAGTTGTTAAGGGTTCTTTAATTCAGATTCCTCATGCAGGAGTCCTTTGTAAAGAATATGTATGACGGATTCCTTATCCATGCTCCTTTCTTACGGATTTGGTACTGACGTTTCCTCATTAAGGATTCTTCCTCTTCCTCGTCGTCATCATCAACCTTATCGTCATCGTCGCCAAAATTATCATCATCCCCATCATCGTCGGGATCGCATTCGTCTGATCTAGCTCCTTTTTCCTCCTTACTCGTTATGTATAATTGTTCCTTCTCCTCCTCGCCCTTCCCCTCATCATCCCCCTCCTGAGGGTAGAGAGGGACTGGGATCCAGCGCGGGAAAACGATACGAAGCCTTGCGCTGCCCCGCCGCCCCCAGCCCGAGGTTGCACTGCCCCGCTGAAGGAGGATTAGAGGATAAGGAGGAGCGGCGGAGAGTGGGGAGCAGATGAGGGGGTGGACGGAATAATAAAAAAGTGGAGAGCATCGAAGCCAAGGCAAGTTGTATGATCTCAGGGGGCAAGCGCACATATACGTACATATACATATATACATTTATGCATATGTTTTGTATGTACATAGGTGTATGTATGTCTGATTGTATAAATTCACGTACGGATATATATATATATATATATATATATATACATATGCATGTAGGAATGGATGTATGTATACACGTATGTGATCATATTAATATAAGTGTATGCGTGTATGCATACATGCATGTGTGCACGTGTGTATGTATGTGTGTATGCAGGTGTGTATGCATGTGTGTAGTTATATGTGGATGGGTGCGTGTATGCCCGTGTATAGATGCATGTTTGTACGCATGGATGCATGAATGAATTGATGCATGCAGGTATGTGTATATGTGTGTATGTACCCATTTATGTGTGTATGTACGTATGTACATATACGTGCATGCATGCACGCATGTAGGCATGGATGCATGTATGTACGTATGTATGAACGTGTGCATGCAGGTGTGTTCGTATGTCTGGATGCATGCATGTATGCAGTCATGCATATATGTATATAGGTATATGTGTGTATATATATGTGTGTACGTATGTGTTCATACACGTCTGGGCCAACGCATGCATACATATGTGTGTGAAATTGAATATGCATGGCCGCTCCCGTTCATCGGCACATAAATCTATACATTCTAGATGGTACATCCGCACGGTCTTTGCTCCTGTTGTCGGCCCCTCTCTCTCTCTGAGAATGGAGCATGCAAGAGCTATGTTGTGAGACCTGGGCGCCGTCGTGAAGCAACGTGAGAATTCAGAACGGGGGGCACGTGGGATGTCGAGGTGCTGTGCAGGGCTCCAGGTGGAGCACGCGTTGACACATTGCTGGTACACGCTTGGATCGCGTGGTTGCCGTGAGGCTCGCATGGTTGCTGTACGTTCTCCTCTTTCTGGCCTCCCGCAGGAAGAGCGATTGGAAAGTGTTTCGGATGTTGCCGTTGGGAAAGTTCAGCGCAATTATTGTTGTCAGATTCGCGTTAAGTCTACTTTCGTGTGATGTGTTATGTGTGATTTGGGTACTTCTGGCTTCCGAGGCGCGGCCAATAGCGCATAATCTACAATGAGGCGCAGACGCAGCGTAATTTGCGAGGGTATATGGCTTCGGGGGCGCGAGTAGTATGTAAGTTATGGCTTCGAGGGCGCGCAAACGGTGTACACTACGAGGGATCATTGACTCACTACGAGGGATCATTGGCTCGGGGGCGCGGGTTTTATGTATTGTACATGTCCCAAGACCCCCCATAAATGTTGAGAACCCCCCTGGTGAAGGTAACAAAGGGCCTTTTTGGGGCTCCCGCCCCCCGCGCGGACGTCAATCCTCACGGTAGGAAGCAGAATACAAAATTGTAACATCGGAGATTGGAAATTGGAATTGGAGCAGGGAGCAACAAGCCTAAGCCGCGGTGCCTGATGGCCCCGCACGGGGACAGGTGGATTTAGATATTCATACATCTATTCATGTGACCATGTAGATGTATGCATGCACAAGTGGCATGTGCTTGCCCAGGCGAATACAAACCCATTTGAATGATGTGTGTGGTGTGCACCAGATGTGTCTGTGTGCGTGTTATGTTTGTTGGGTTTTGTGTGCGTGTGTTGTGCGTTGTGTGTACTTTGTGAGAGTTATGTGAGGATCATGTTCGTTCTGCATGTGTTGCGTCTGAGGTATGTTGTGTGTGTGTGTTCGTTGTGTTGTGTGCGTGTTGCTTGTGCTGGGTGTTGTGTGTGTGTCACGTGTGCGTCTGTTGCGCGTGTGGGCGTGTGGGTGCGTGCGTGTGTGCTATCCGTGTTGAACGTGTCGTGCGTGTGTTCTGTGTGTTGTTGGTGTGGTGTGTTTTGTGTGGTGAATGCGTTCTGTCTGCGTCACGTGTGCGCACGTGTGTGCATGCATGTATGTGTTACACGTCGGGACTCGTTCTGGGGAGGATGTCTCAGACGAAACTGCCTGTTTCTAAGAATCCTTTTGAAAGGAGCTCGGTGTTTGGAGGATGGGGCGAAACTGCAATGTTTGAATAATCGGACTCAAAACATTGAAATCCGTTGTGTTGTTTGAACGTTTGGTGTCATAATGTTGAGCATCCATTGTGTCTTTGGACCGTGACGTTGCGATCGGCGTGAGGGGCGCGTCCGATGTTGAGAATGTTGAGGATGTCCCGAGCGAAACGACTAGATAAAGAAGCGTGGCTTCACACTTTTTCGCCTTGGAGGTCCATTCCCTCGAAGAGGTGCGTATGATAGTACAACTGTGTACACGTGTGTGCACGTATGTGCTTGTGTAGACATACACACTTAGACGTCATCACCTACCCTGAGCTGCGACCTCACGAAAAAGTGCATCATTGTAGGAGCCCTGGCCAGGATCCCTGGACCCAATCCATCTGCGGTGCTGATTCGAGCCGGATCGATCCGTGAAGGTCTGGGGGCCCGAAACGAGGCAAGATTGCCTGTTGCGACAAGCATGCGCCGCCAGGATGCTCGGGAAAGTCGGCCAGGGGGGCCAAGGCCGTTCCAGTGGGGATAGGGATCGGTCAGTCAGCGCTGTCGCTGAGGAGCAGGCCGCGCTCGACAAGGCCGCCGCGAGCGCCGCCGCGGCTCAGGGGGCGCAGGGGCTTGCAGAGGAGTCCCTGGCCGAGCACAGGCAGCTGCTCGAGGAGAGCACGGCGGCGGTGGACATGCTCCGTGAAAGGATCGATCCAGGGGGATGTCAGCCCTGACTCTCGGTGTGGAGAATAAGCAGACTGATGGCGGCGGGTTTTGCCCACTTCTGGCCTCGGGGGGCCCTCGCCCAGGCCTTCGAAAGTCGTCTCGGGATGAACACTGGGTCATGGGGAAGAAGGGGTCCAGACATGAAGGAGACGACGATTCTGGGCGGCGTCAACCTTCATGTGAGGAAGAGTTACCGGTACCGCTTCCCTCGTTTTCGCGTTTTGGGGCCTCCTAATCAAATTATAATTTATTTACATATGTACATATGTATACATATTTATTTAATTATATACGCATTGGTTACTGCTACGTATCGGTGTATAACATTGTGTGTCTTTGCGTTATGTATGTATGCATGCATGAATGTATGTGTATATATAAATAAATGGAGACATAGAGATCAACAAGTGCTTCTCAACCTTGAGTTTTTCTTTGACTTCGGCTCTGCTGGGGCCCTCTGGGCCCCAGGAGCATAGAGACTGGATCGGGGCCGAAAACGGTGCCCCCAGGGGAAGGCGGTCGGGGCCTCCCTGGGGCCACGGATAGACACCCATAGCGGCGGTCGTCAGGGCCTGTGACCATACACGATGCAGCAGTTGACTGCCTCAAGCTTGTGATGCATGTGATGCCTGTTTGGGATCGTCCCTCCCCTCCCCCTCCTCCTCTTCCTCCTCCTTTTTTGCAGGCTATGTGGCGAGCTTTCGCCGGTCTCGCAGGCCAGTCAGACTATGGCCTGGGCAGCAACAGTTGGAGTCGAGGCATGGGTCCTAGGATCTCGGCGCACGGCGCCACCCCTGGGCCAGGCTGGACAATGCACACAGCAAATAAGACGCCAGCCGAGGACTCCACCCCCCGAACGCCCCAGGGGCCCGCAAAAGATCGGCGAAGGTTGTGTCCTGATATTTCTTGTAGCAAGACTTCTTATGAGATGTGCCTGCCGTAGGCACCGATCCTGGGCCCAGGATCGGCCCGGCCGGTAGCAGTGAGGTCGTCAGCTGACGTCCCCTGAGGATAGAGGAGGACACCCGCGACTACGAGCACGACTTGCAGCGGCTGGCCGAGGAGATCGACAGCCACCGCAACGCCAGCGCGCGGCTTCTCAAAAGCACGCCAGAGATCGTGCACCAGCACGGCCTCGCGCTCCTCAGCTTCGCCGCCAGTGAGCGCTGAGGGGCTGGACTGCGCCGCGACCAGACGATGAGCAACAACAAATATTGCGTTGTTGAAGGACCCAACTGTATACAAGTGTGGTAAGGCAGTAGGGAAAAAAGAAGGGTGGGGCTCCCTATGGTGCCACGAGGCGAGCGTCTACAGACTATGCCTCTGCAGAAGCAAAGACCTGTGGAGGGCAGAGGCAGGAGGGGCGGGGGGGAGGAGGTGATGATTCAAAGTGACGCGGGGCGCTGTCTCTTCGAAACGAGGACCCGACACCAAAGGATTGTTGGGACAAAACTTTCCTCAAGCAAACCTCCAGGTTCCAGGATCGAGTATTTCGGGCGCATTTGGTTTCTGGGCCTCCTGGGGCGCCCTCGTGTCCACGGCTGGAGTTCCCTTACGGTGCGGTGCTCGTCAGGGCGCACCCTTGAAGAGGTCCAGGCGTCGATCCTGAAGTCATGTGCCCGCCCGTGCTTGGCACGGCCTCGGCTTGGTAGGGCCGGGGTGGACCCAGGCGGGAGGGCCCAAAGAGGGTCCACAAACTCACGATGCGTCACACACGCCTTCTGCTCAGGCAGACTCGTGGAGATGAAGGCCTGCTCGGGGAAGGTTTTGGAGTCTGCACGGGAGGGCGCGCGCGTAGCTAAGACAGCACCGACTGTTCCCGCAGCCCGAGCCCCCCACCCGCCCATCACGCTCCGAAGTTTTGCCTCGAGTTTCCTATTCCTTCTCCTCGTCCTCCTCCTCCTCCTCTTCACCCTCCTCCTTCTCCTGCTCCTCCTGCTGCTCCTCCTCCTCCTCCTTCTCCCAGCATCGGGCCTACAGCCGAGGTAGGGGGTGGGTGGGAGCTAGAGTGCATATAATGTCTTACGAGTTAGGGATCATTCTCGACCCAGCGTCCCCTAGAGGCGAGTTGGCCACGAAAGCAAGTATAGTCTGCCCAGTGCCTGCGGGCTCTGCAGGATCCAGCTGACACGCCCTTGCAGAGTCGTTCCTTCGTTCGTTCTCCTCCTCCTCCTCCTCCTCCTCCTCTTCCTCCTAATCCTCCTTCTCCTCCCCCTCCTCCTCCCCCTCCTCCTCCTCCTCCTCCTCCTCCTCCTCCTCCTCCTCCTTGTCTTCTTCCATCCCCTCTGTAGCCATTCTGGCATCAAGCAGCCCCGTCTCGCCGGCGGGGCCCAAGCTGAGCCGCGGCGCGCCCAGCGGCCTGCGAGGGGCTCCGCGGCGGGCACGCGTCAGACCGGCGCGCGCCCGGAGGCCGCGCCGCCGGGAGCGGTTGCGGGAGAGCGCCGAGGTGGAGATCCCGCTGGGGGTCACTCGCATCGCTGCGAAAAAGCGTTTGAGGGCCGGCAGCTACCGATGGGCGTTGGAGCAAGCGACACCTGAAGTGGCATCCGTGGCACTTTTGCATGCTCAGCGGCACGTTGGACACCAGCGCAAACGCTGGAGCGACAACTGAGAACACAAGTGAGCGGTGCACGCGGCCCGGCGCCCAGCTGGGGCAGGCCCGTCTGCCCGTCTCTCACCGAGGCACCAAGGCCACGATCCCTGCGGGCGTGACCTCAATCGGAGCTTTCGCGTTCCAGGGCTGCGTGGCGCTGGAAGGCACCACGATCCCGCAGAGCGCGGCCCCAGTTCGGGGATAGCGCGCTCCAGCACTGCGGGGGGCTGACAGCGGCCACGACCCCACATAGCGTGACCTCTATCGGGGAGAAAGCGTGCGAGTATTGCGTGGCGCTCTACGACTGCAGGGCGCTGGCAAAGGTCACGATCCCGCGGGGCGTGACCTCCATCGGGCATGGGGCGCTGAAGGTCACGGCGCTCGCTAAGGTGCCCTGCGGGCACCGTCCAGATGAGACCATGCTCGAGCTCGCCCGCGTCCTGCCGTGCCACATGGTGCCTGCCTTCAGTGAACCAGCTTTCAGTGAATCTGCAAGGAGCGAGGTCCAGGAGCTCTGGCTCCTCGCCCAGAAGGGCTTCATGTGCCTGCCGGACGGCCTGGCCCCGCGCCAGCAGGCCCTGAAACAGCGAGGGCTCCTCGTCCGCCGCAGAGTCAGCATGCGCGACGTGGTCTCCGGCGGTGTCGCCGAGACCCACGTGCGCGCGAGCCACAGATGGCTGATCGGTTGGCACTTCGACCGATGACGATCAGGAGATCAGCAGGTTGGATGCCATCCTGGCGAAGCTCACGCACGCCGAGTACGTCTGCAGGATTGGCCCTGCGCCCCGCAGAAGCACGACGACGAGGGACGCGGCGTCGGGAATTCCGCGGAAGACACGTCAGAGTTAGACGAGACCTTCGCGAACTTTCGTCAATTCTAGTATACCTCGGCTGAGCGGTGATCGTCCTGTGGGATCGGCAGTACAACACACGCTTCTGGCCAGACGTGGCGTCGTGAACCGCCATGACGTGTCCGAACAAGCAGGGTTTGCAATTGCAGGGCATCGGGTCCCCTTCTACGACGTGATGGGTGTCGGAGCAGACATCGACACAGAGGCAAAAGCGTACGCAGCGGATGCCTGGGCACTACAACGGCCAAGGAGGCCGCGGCCGAGCTTGGCTGCGACGACACCCAGGCGACCAACCAAGAGGACAGACTCGACAACCTGAAGGTGATGTCGGATCTTCAGGGGCAACGACAGGGGGGGATAGGCATAGGGGTGGATGCATCTACCCCCAATCGCACACTGCTCGCCGATAGGCGCCCGATAGCAGCAAACTGCTCAGGAACCTTCGACTTCACGATCGGGGGGCTATCGCCGTTTTATCTGCAATGTATCGCCGATCCCAAGTCGATGTGCCCCCGCCCTACACCCATCGGACATTTTCAACAAAAGGCATCAACTTTCATGGGCTCCAGATTTCGTTCCAAGATTTCCAGAATCTGCACTGGACCCTGGTCGTTTCTTGGAGTCTTTTTTTTTGTTCGTCGAATGTTCGTATACATCTGCGCCCGGGCTACTGTTTGAGGCAACGCTTGGAGCGAAGTTCATTTTCTGAGCGTGAAGTTGTCTTAGCTCTAAGCACGGGTGTGTGCACCCGCCCTACCGTTGCCCCCCTCAGGGCTCGACCGTCGGGTGATGCGGCGCTTCGCACCGCCCGACTGCTCCGCGCCCGCTCCGGCGGGATGCCTGTTCCTCCTCCTCCTGACCCTCCTCCTCCTCCTCCTCCTCCTCCTCCTCCTCCTCCTCCTCCTCCTCCTCCTCCTCCTCCTCCTCCTCCTCCTCCTCCTCCTCCTCCTCCTCCTCCTCCTCCTCCTCCTCCTCCTCCTCCTCCTCTACCTCCCCCCCCTACCGTTGCCCCACCCAGGATTGGGGATCGGCAATCAATGTCTACACCCGTGGCCTCCACAGGCTCAGTCGCCCCCTTTTTCGGGCCGTGGCGCGATGCCGAAACAGCCGCGTTCGTGGCCAGTCTCGTCGGGTTATGCCTCGTGCCCCTCCCCATTCCTCTCCCATCCTTCTTCCTCACCGATGTGCTCTCCTTGTCTCGGCCCCCAGGCGTATCGGCAGGGCGGGTCGGGCGTTGCGCGCCTGACCTGAGACATCTTCGCCACTTATGACCCTGAAGTTTCCTCCTCCTCCTCCTCCTCCTCCTCCTCCCGCACTTTTCCTCCTGCTCCTCCTCCTCCTCCCCCTCCTCCTCCCGCACTTCTCCTCCTCCTCCTCGTCCTCCTCCTCCTCCTCACTTTTCCTCCTTCCCCTCCTCCTCCCCCTCCTCCTTCTAATGATCCTCCTCCTCCTCCTCCTCCTCCTCCTGGAGGCTCTCGCCTCAGCGCCGCGCGCGCTTGTGCAGAGCACCTGCGGCAGTCTGGGGCCCCGCGTCCTGGACCGCTGCGCGAGGGCCGCGGGGCCCGAATGCCAAGGCCGGCAGGCGGTCCGTCGTCAGTTCGCCACGGCACCCAGGCCTGCACCAGGAGAGGTGGAGCCTCGAGGAGCTGGGCGACTCTCCAAGTGAACCGCGTGGCATGGCTCGGACGCGTGCGTTCCTTCTCGGCGGGGGCCACCCGGGAGCATCCTGGACCAGCGAGCACAGCAAAGCGCGCACGGCACCGACAAGGGCGCGGGGAAGGGGCGTCCGAGCGGCGGCAAGATCCAAGTGGGGCTTCGAAGATCGCCGGCTCCGGCCCACGCCCCCTCCACCCCGGAGGGCTGTGCCGAAATGGGTGGCGGGGACGCATGCGGGCAGCACCATGTGAGTCTTGGGTGGAGCTCCTTATGGGGCAACGAAAGGTGTGATGCGCGCACCGACATGGGTGGCGGGGGCGCGTGCGGGCGGCACCATTGAAGCCTTGGGTCGAGCTCCTGATGCGGCCACGAGGCGTGCGAGGGATGTGTCGAAATGAGCGGCGGGGACGCATGCGTACTGAACCGTTGATGTGGCCACGAAGCGTGAGAGCGGTGTGCCGACATGGGTGGCGGGGGCGCATGCGGGCGACACCCTGTGGGCCTGTGGTGGAGCTCACTATGGGGCACGAAGCGTGTGAGGGGTGTGCCGAAATGGTTGACTGGTGCGGAGGGCAGATGCAGGGATGGGAGGAGGGAGGCGCGCGGGAGGAGGAGGCAAAGGAGGAGGAGGAGATGCGGGGTGCTGTCTCTTCAAAAACGAGGAACGCCAAAGGATGGTTGGAAATCACGACGTCGGGGGTCTGGCTCCGCCGTACCAATCTCCATTCTGCGTCTCCAGAGTACCACAGGTCACGTCAAGAAGTTGTTGCGACGGAGAGGGGAGGGGAGAAGAAGCGAATGAACACCGCACACATGTCAGTTGTTTCGCTGCGATCTCGGCTTCTAGTGAAGCGAGAGTGTTGTGGCCTCGCATGACAGCAGGTGCACCACATGAGAAATGGACCTGCCAGCAGGTCCTCGGAAGCTTCTGACCCACCGTTGGCCCCAGGGACCCGCAGAAGGTCGAGGGCACCACAGGATTCCTTATATCAAGATATCTTCTCGCATACTACCCAATTCTGGGATCAAGCTGTGGCGTGACAGCGAGGCGCTCATGTGATTCGGAGTGACGTGTTCATGAAGCTGACCCCAACGCTGCCTCTTTCGATTTATTACTTTATATATAGATATATATGTGCATAAGCAAACAACAACTTCTCGCATGTGCCTGCTGTGCGATGTTTGAGCCTACCGCAGCCTGGATAATCATGCAGAAGGTCGGCCTCCAGGAGAAGAGTGAATGAAATCTCCGTGTCCCTGCGAGGAAGACTCGCGGAGGTGGGTGCTCGATATTGTCCCGGGGATGCACGCGTTACGCACGGGCCTGGAATGTAGATGTTCGTTTTGGAGACCTCCCTCAGGGCCACCTCGTGGATCTGTTGGACTTGAGTGCGATTCTAACTCGACTCAAGTTCAATTCAAGTTCGACGCCACTTCGACTAAAGTCGACGGACGTTCGACGCAGCATCGACGCATGAGTGAAGCGAGTCGCTCCAGGAAGGTCCCCATAGCAGTGTTCCAGACATCCGACGTCTTTTTTTTTTCCGTACGAGGTCCATAATTCCCGAAGTTTTTCCACAGAGTTGGTTTTTCACCATACCAGTTGTTTGACAGCGGGAGGCCCGGTGAGGACCCCCGGAGGTGCAAAGGTTTCGTTTAGATTTCTACGCAGCTCGAGGAGATTGGGCCGCAGGCGGCGACGAGGGGCACATCAGAGGGAAAGGGAGGGGGGAAGAGGGGAGGGAGGGAGAGAGGAAGGAGTGCGGATGGAGGGAAGGAGGGAGGGAAGTGGAAGGAGGAGGGCGGGTTGGAGGGAGGGAAGGAGGGAGAAAGGAGGGAGGGAGGGAGGGAGGAGGAGGGAAGGAGGGAGGGATGTAGGGGGGGGGAGGGGAGGGGGGGAGGGAGGGAGGAGGGAGGGGGGGGAGGAGGAGGGAAGGAGGGAGTATGGAGGGAGGGGGAGGGGGGAGGGAGGGAGGGAGGAGGAGGAGGAGGAGGAGGAGGAGGAACAGGAGGAGGAGGAGGAGGAGGAACAGGAGGAGGAGGAGGAAGTCTCGGTCCGGGGCGCGGGCCTGCCTCGCGGCGGCCGTCCACGCGCCAGGGCTCGCCCTCCGCCAGAGTTCCCTCTGGGGCGCGGCCCTTGGGGACCGAGCGAGGGTCCTGGTCGCGGCCCCGGGGCACGAGAGTCCCTCCCCGGGGCGTGGAATGTTGTGCACTGAGCGTGGCCCCCCGGGGGGGAGGGTGTGGTAGACAACATCATCTTGAGAAGGAGTCCAAGGACGAACGACTGCACAAGCATGATTGTTCGGAGCTCCGCGCTGGTTTCGCGGATCGTCGCTGGGCCCCCGCCCCCGTCATGGGTGCGCGGAGTGGGGGGTTGGGAGTCGAAAGCAGAAAAGCTGCACAAGCATAAATCTTCGGAGCTCCACGCTGATTTCGTGGATCGTCGCTGGGCCCCCGTCAACGGCGCGCGGAGCGTGCCATGGGCGGCGCCAGAGAGAGGCGCGGCCAGGGCGCCCAGCGCCGATTCCAGGAGATCCGCGCGCATCGCCGAAAGTCTGCGTTTATGCTGTGTGTTGTTCCTCTTCTGGAGGAGGTTAAGCCCAGGCACGCGGGCTGCGAAAGACCGCTGTCACATCGCACGCAGTTGTCGGCACGCCGCGCACCAGAGCTCCCTCCCTGCCCCAGGCCAAGCTTCGCTCGGCGGTTCACAGATGGGGCCCTGCCACCCTAAGATTAGGAAGGGGACCACAAGCTGAACCCTCACTGTTTGAGGTTTTCACCCGTGAGGTCTCATCCCGCAGGGCCTCATCTTTGAACCGCAGTGCCCCTGAGATCCGGCGTTGCGAAACTCATGCAGCTCGCGGAGGGTCACGACCGCAGCCCTAGACCCCGTCGTTCTGCGGCACCTCTCGAGCCTGATCGATCCGTGAGGGCCCCGTGGCCCGGCCCGCATCCAGGCAACACTGCCCGTTGCGAAAACATGTGACGCCAGGGTCTCAAACAAACCTCTGGCGTCAGGATTTACGTTCATGACGTCGACCCCCAGAGGTCTGGACGCCTTCCCAGGATTAGTTTTTCATCCCGAGCCGTTGTTTGACCGCCCCGAGGCCCAGTGAGGGCCCCCAGAGGCCGAAAATACCCAAGAAGCTCCCGGCGTGATTTTTGAAACAACTCGAGGGGGCCCAGGATCTCGAGGAATTAACCGCTGTAGCAAAGAAGCTCCCAGCGTAATTGTTGTTGTTGTTGTTGTTGTTGTTGTTGTTGTTGCTGTTGTTGTTGTTGTTGTTGTTGGTGGTGGTGGTGGTGGTGGTTGTGGTGGTGGTGGTGGTAGTGTGGTTGTTGTTGTTGTTGCTGCTGTTGTTGTTGGTGCTGTTGTTGGTGGTGGTGGTGTTGATGTTGATGCTGATGTTGATGTTGTTGTTGTTGTTGTTGTTGTTGTTGGTGGTGGTGGTGGTGGTGTTGATGTTGCTGTTGTTGTTGTTGATGCTGCTGTTGTTGTTGGTGGTGGTGGTGCTGTTGTTGTTGTTGAACATTATTACTTCTAAAGAATAATTATTGTTGGGACCCCTGGTGCACGGCCCCCCCGCCGCGCCTAGGCCGCAGCCACATTTTCATCATTTTCGTGAGGAAGTCTCAGGCACAACGGGTTGGTCCGGATCCGGTTGTTTTGTTCCCCCCCGCTTTCCCTTGCAAAAAATAAGCTACAGTGGACATTTCTTGTTCTAGCATAACCAAACTTCAAGAATCCCTTGCAAAAAATAAGGTAAAGTGGACATTCGCGCGCGCAAGACGAAATCCTTCCAAAACCTTAGTTTTCGTAGCGATTTTAACATAAAAACATCAAAAAACCAATGGTTTTTAAAAAAATGTCAAAATTTCATCCCGCGCGCTCTTGCGGATTCGTAGGAAACCCAACACTTTTTAAACATTTCTGTCAAACGGGCTTTTGCGAGCAACTTTTTCGAACTTCTGCAACAACGGTTGCGCACCTGCCAGGGCCATCATCCCTGTCAAATAATACCATGCGGGACACATTCGTTTTTTCTTCGCGCGCGCACGCCGTCGTCGTCGGCCGCGGGGCCCTGAATAGTAGCCACGGTCGTCCGCATGCCACGAAGTGAAGTGTCCGAACGTCATAGGGCGGGAAGCTGGGTGTGGGTGGTGGCGAAGAGTCGTTTGGAAATTTGGTAGAGCTTGAACCGGCCCCCCCACAAAGTGGGGGTATTGCCCGCCTCCTATGAAAACCCTGGCACTGGTGAGAACGGAGTGTCCCCACGTGCTAGTAATTGTTGTTGTTGTTGTTGTTGGTGGTGTTGTTGTTGTTGGTACTGTTGTTGTTTAGTGTTGTTGTTGTTGGTGGTGGTGGTGGTGTTGGTGTTGGTGTTGGTGTTGGTGTTGTTGCTGCTGCTGTTGTTTTATGCCTCGAGGGGGTTCGTGGGATCTCAAGGAAGCCGCCGCCCTGAGTGCAGCAGACGAGCCGAGCACACCGCCACGCCCTTGCAGAGGGCCCCCAGGGATCTGGCGCGCCTGGGAGCGCCTGGGTGCGCCGGGCAGCGCTGGGGAAGCGCCTGGCACCGCCTGGGCACCGCCTGGGAACGCGCCTGGGAACGCGCCCGGGAACGCGCCTGGGGGCGCCCGGGGGCGCCCGGGAGCGCCTGGGAGCGCTTGGGGATTGCTTGGGGGCGCCTGGGCGCGCCTTGGCCGGCCCGCTCTGCGCAGGCGGCTGCCGTGCGGGGGCAGTTGGCGGAGCACTTGGGCGGCCTGAGCGCGCCGCTGGCCGTGGTCCCCTCGCCGCCGCTGCACCATCGGCGCGCGGCGGCGCGCAGAACCCCCGAGGAGGAGGAGGTGCCCACACAGTGGAGACCCATGTCACGAAGCACCCTGCTTGCCTCCAGGGAGCCCTGGGTGTCTTGGGTTTCGAGGGTTTCGCGATGGAGAGCGCGACGTCCCCACACACCAAACATCGATGGACGTCCTGGGGTCTCAGGGTTGGGTCTCTTGTGGGAGGTTTCTTGTGGACTGGCCTTCCTCGGCTGTAATCACCTCTACCCTTGCCTCCTGGGAGGCCCTCGTCGCCACCGCTGGATCCGTCTCGAAGTTCTGGCCAGAACGCACCCCAGGAGAGGTCCAGGGAGTAGCGGTAGCAGTACCTTCCGATTTCCCCAGGAGGAGGAGGAGGAGGAGGAGGAGGAGGAGGAGGAGGAGGAGGAGGAGGAGGAGGAGGAGGAGGAGGAGGAGGAGGAGGGGGAGGAGGGTCCCCGCACGGTTTCGGACGTTTTCTTGGGCTCCTGGGAGTTTCAAGACGTGTTCGTCGGTTCCTCAAGGTCCTCCTGCCTCAGGTGCGTTGCGGCGGCTGCGCCTCGCCGAGAGCGCTCCCGGGGCTGCATGCGGGTCGTCCCGATCGGCCGCCAGAGGCCTGAGGTAATTCGGACCCTGAAGCCGCCAGGCGCCGCATGTGTGGAAGGCCCCCCAGACGGTGCGGTGACCGCACCGTGTGGTGAGTCAGTGGGGATCGTCGTCGTCGTCGTCGTCGCCAGTCAGGGTCTTCGTCGTCGTCGTCTTCGCCATTCAGAGTCGGCGGCACCGGCCGTAAGGCCTTCGCAATATTTGCATAATCCTCGTCCTCTTGGGGAAAAGCCTCACCACCATCATCATCATCATCATCATCATCATCATCATCATCATCATCATCATCATCAGCATCATCATCATCACCATCATCATCATCATCATCATCATCATCATCATCATCATCATCATCCTCGGGTTGGCCGCATGGTTTGGGGTCGTTCTCTCAGGGCGTCTCGGGCGCCTGGGGCCTCCGAGGTCCCAGCGCCGCGCGGTGACGGACCGTGCGGTGAGGTCTGTTGGGGTTTCGAGGTCGCCGCACGGTCTGTCACCGCCTCGTGTCGGGGCTCCCCGCAGAAGTGGGGCGGCGCGAGGGGCCCGTGTCATGGCAGCACACTCGCGCCGCCGAAGAAGGAGCTTCTCGTTGGGGAGGGGCTCGGTGCTCCGTGAGTTATGTTCGAGCTTGTCTCAGGCGTGCCTCAAGTTAAGCCTCGTTCACGTGAAGTGGTCCAGAGGTCCAGGGAACCTCGGCCGCGCGCACAGGGGACTTAGGGGGAGGGGGAAGGCTTCTTAGAAGCACCCTTACCTCTTTGTAGGCGCGGGCCTTGTCTATAGGTGTAAGGCCAGCGCTGTCTAAGAAGCAGCCTCCTCGTAAGAAGACTTCCTTCATCCCTCTACCCCCTTGTGCGCGCGGCCAAGAACCCGCAGTGACAAAATCAGGACATTGCATCGGTTACACGTCGGAGTGACCCTTCGCCGAAGTGACCTTTGGTGGTGCGCGGCTTCTGGTGGGCACAGGAAGGTCAAACCCAAGCGCACGGACCGTCACTGCTGCATTGCGTGCATCGGTCGGCGAGTCGCGCACCAGAGGTCACTCTCGCCTGGGGTCGGCGGCCAGCGAGGAGGGGAAGTGAGAAGGAGAAGGCCTTCTCAGAAGGCGGCGGGGCTTCTCAGAAGGCCTCGGGCCTTCTGAAAGGTTTTTGGTGTCTTCGGGGAAGGCTTAGAACAATTCTCAGAAGGCTGGGGGACTCCCGAGCCGTCTGAGAAGGCCTTCTCCTTCCCACTTCCCCCCGTCGCTCGCCGCCAATAGTGTCGCTATCCCGTGTAGCCGATGCAGGGATGGAGAAGGGGGTGGCGCTAGGGGGGGCGGCCCGCGAAGCAGGCAGGGGCCTTCCTAGACTTGGCCGGCCGCCGTCCAGCGGGCCGTCTCGGAAGCCCCCGCTCCCTTCTGGGAGGCCCCCTGCCATCTCTTAGGTTGGGACCCAGAGATCTGGCGCTCCGAAAATAGTGGAGAGCGGCCGATTTTCGGTCGCTTTCGGCCTCCGGGGGCCCTCGCTGGGCCTCGGGACCGTCAAGAAACGATTCAGGATGAACAACTGGCCCCACGGAAGCGGTTCAGACTTCTGGGGCCCACGCATCGATATAAAACGTGCGCGTCCAGATGTCCGGGAAGGCCAGCCCCCTCGTCCCTACCCGCTGTGTGTGTGTGAGTGTGTGTGTGTGAATGTGTTGTGTGTGCGCCGCCCAGGCACCGGGTGAAGTCGTGGATGTACCGGATAGACGACGCCAGGCGCGGCTCTCCAAACAAGGGCCTGTCTTCCAGGTGCCTGGCGGCTGATCTCCAGCCTTCCGCGGAAGCCGGAGAGAGGCGGCCGTCCTGTGAAGTCTCCCACCATATAAACGGCGCCAGGTGCGGGTCTCGCCCTCGGCAGAGGCGGGAGGATGGCTGCGGGCATGGCGGAAGGCGGAGTGTTTCATATTCGGATCCCCGACGTCGTGTTGCCTTGCAGTCCGAGGCGCGGACATGCATTCATGAAGTGTTTGTGGAGTGCTGCATTCACGCGTGAGGACTGCCGCACCTCTTTTTCCCTCTCCTTCCCCTTCTCCCTCGGAGGCACAACGTATGCTCTCCCACGCGCACGTGCACGCTTTGCCCGGTGCGCTGTAGTCTCGACCGATGACGGAACAACCCTTGAGGTCTGACGGGGCCTCTGTCTGTCCGTCTGTCCGTCTGTCCGTCTGTCTGTCTGCCTGCCTGCCTGTCTGTGTGTCTGTCCGTCCGTCTGTCTGTCCGTCGGTCTGTCTGTCCGTCTGTCTGTCTGTCTCGCTGTCTGTCCGTCTGTTCGTCTGTCTGTCTTTCTGTCTGTCCGTCCGTCCGTCTGTCTGTCTGTGTGTCTGTCGGTCGGTCGGTCTGTCTGTCTGGAGCGCGGACCGTGGAGTCTTCGAGGCGCTCCCCCCAGGCTGGCGTCTCCATCCCGAGCCGATGTTTGTTGACAGTCCCCGGGCCCGGCGAGGGTCGTAGGCCGAGAACGAGAAAGCACCTTATTTTTTCGCGGCGATGTCTGTCGCGCCGCGAAGGGATCTGGGTAGCACGCTTAAGTCTGGCACGTCCCTCTACAGGAGGAAAATTCAAAAATAGTCCAAACATACTCTGGGGACGATTGTTTCTGTTTTTGTTTGAACCAATGTGCGACTAGTTGCTTCATTTGCCTTCCCAAATCCGCCTGTACGAGGACATGCCCGACCTACTAGCACGCACAGGAAAGAGGCCGCGAGGTAGCGCGCTACTGGTTGATGCCTCGCCCACGGCGGGGACCAGCGGCAGGCTGGCGGAAGGCGGCCTCTTGCCCTCGAGCCTCGAGGGCAAGACCGCCGGGTCGTGCCTCCGCGCCTCGAGTTCGCGGCCCCTCGGAACTCTCGAGGGGCCGAGAGTTGGACGCCCGGCCTGTCGCGGAAGGGCGGCATGGCCGAAGCGAGTTGACCTTTGGGGCGCATTCTTGGGGCTTCGCTGTGCTCTTGCTCGTCAGTACGTGTCACGTGTGCGGAGCTGCACTGCTCATGTCGCGCTATCCTGTGGCTCTGCCGTGTTCCTGTTCGCAACGCCCACCGCCAGAGGCGACGAGGAGCTCGAGAGATCCATCCACAAAGAAACTCTGAAGCGTCCCCTCAGTTACCCTCCTGCGTGACTGGGCTTGCCTCCTCATGAGAGTTGCTGGGACACGGCGGTGTCGTGCAGGGGGTGCCCTACAGGTGAACGCTGCTGTGCTCAGTGCTATTTGCATCGGGCTGAAATGACCCAGTCGCCGACCCCATTTCGCATTCCTCTCCCCCATTCCCAGCATCGAGGGATTCAGGAAACGGGTTTTGGGACGCTTGGGAATTTTTGGGGCGTCTGGCAGACCTCCCCTCGGCCCCGCCAGCTCCCCATCCTCTTCTCCTCCCCTACCCCATCCCCCCCCCCAGCACAGAGGAGCAAACGATGCAGCACGGCTTCTGGGTTCTTTGGCTCCTCGCTCTAGCGCCCCAGACCGAATTTGTCTTGAGAGCTGACCAGTTCCTGGAATTGTGCGGGCTGCTCTTAGGAGGAGTGCGGTGAGAGGAGGGGACAGGGGTGTGACGGGCAGAGCTCTCTCTCTAACGCCCGTGTCAGATGCTGAGAGCGAGAATTTGGATGGGATGGGTGTTGGCTTGATGAGATGTCCGGTACACTATCGCTCCTCTGCTGACTTCCCATGCCGTGCGCCGCAGCGCTCGTGTAAAGAATACCAGGTGGGCGCTGAAGGCGCTGGATCCAGATAGCCGCATTCCGGTGCCCGTGTTCCAGAGCCCGCTGTGGAGCCACAAGATTCTACAGGCTTGCTCCACATCCGCCGATCTCTTTATTCGGAATGCCCTGAGGGCTTCCCAGGTTCCGTGTACTGGGTAGAGTGTCCTGGGAGTGACGCGTGCAGCAGGCGCTTCGTTCGGCCGTTTTGAGTTGACGGACGGTCGAAGCGACAACCATTGACCAAAAACAAAAGGGACATCAACTTTTGCTAACCTTATCGGTCTCTCGAAGGGTACTCGATATTGCCAGGTGCGTCGTCGTCGGTGCCGCCGCCGCTGCTGTCTTCGCCGCCATCATGGAGGAAGTGGGGGACGCGGACGACGACGACGCCGACGACGACGACTACGACGAGAGCGGCGATGACGTTCGATATTCGGGTTTTTTTTGTCTTATCCAGCCTTGGGGCCTTCCTTCAGGTCCCTGGCCCGATGGCATCGATCCCGAGCAAGAACCTGAGCCAACGGAGACATGGACAGGGTGCAAGCTTACAAATCAATTGCGGTCGGAGGATTGGGCGTCAAATCGCGCAGGTTTCGAGCGCCCCCTGGGGTGTTCGTTGAACTTCGTCGTTTCCGTCGAGCCCTCTCGGAGATGCTTGTCGAGCTGGTGCTCGCTAAACCGCCAGTTCCAGACATCTCACTGCGACTACTATTTCTTTACGGTTTTCTTTGGACACCTTCAGCCCTGTCGTCGTGATCATCGTCGTGTTTGTCGTCGCCGTTTGGCAGGCGAGCGGTGCGTACGCCTCAAGTGAAGTCGGTTCCAAGCCAAGCCAAACCAGGTGGCAAATCAGGCAGATGCACGTGGCGGATACGTCTCAGGCGAAACCAGGCTCAACCCAGGCCAAACCAGGTGTCGAACCAGGCAGTTCCCGAGGACGTCTCAGACAAAACTGGGCCCAAACTCAGCAAAACCAGGCTTCACAAAGCCCGCAGGGCCAAAAACGCTTTCAAAAATCTCAATCCTCTCTCCCTCTGTCCCTTTTCCTCTCTTCTCCCATCCCCCGTTGCCGGTCCCTTCAGACCTACGACGTGGTTCGTGATTTTGCCAAGAGTCGGCCACGCGCAGAGGGGGGTAGGGGTAGGGGGGGATGCTTCTTCGGAGCGCCCCTGCTTCTTAGAAGTCGCGGGCCTTGTCTGTAGATGTAAGGCCCGCGCCTTCTAGGGAGCAGCCTCTTTCTCAGAAGCCTTCCGCCCCCTCCCCCTTCCCCCCTGGTGCGCGCCGTCAAAATACGTGACGCCCAGATTTTGTTGACCCTCTGCGGGGAGCGGTTTTTCATCTCGGGTTGTGTTCTGACGGTCCCATGGCACCACCTGTACTCTGCACCCTCCGGCCGCCTGAGGCCCCGCCGGCCCGCGCCCTGTCTCCCCAATTAGGGCTTCGCGCGCCCCGCCTAGCTCTTTACCGGAAGGGGCCCGCTCCCGACCCGCCGACCAAAAATTGTGTTCTGACGGTCTTGTGGCCCGAAACGGCCGTTCAGAGGCCGAAATGGAGGGAGCACCGCTGGAGCTGACCAGATCACGACTTCGGAGGTCAGCGCTCCTGGGTTCCACCCCGAGCTCATTCTGGCCAGCGCTGCTCCTTTCGGCGGCGAGCGAGGGGGGGGAACTGAGAAGGGGCAGGCCTTCTCAGAGGGCTTGGAAGGCCCCCAGCCTTCTGAGATGTTTTCTGAGCCTTCCCCGAAGACGCGGAAAACTTGTCAGAAGGCGCGGAGGGTTCTCAGAAGCCCCGCCGCCTTCTGAAAAGGCCTTTTCATGTTCGCTTCTCCCCGTCGCTCGCCGCCGAAAGAATGGCTCCTGGATTCCACCCTGAGCTCATTCTGGCCAGTGTTGCTACCTGCAACCAGCCACCAGCCGATCGCGGTTGACGGGAAACGCGCTTGGACCCAAAGAGCTGCGCGATGGCCGTCGCACAGAATTTTGAGTGAATTCGGTTGGTTTTCGGGGACTGATCCTTGCTACTTGTCAATCATCCTTCCTCCACCTTTGTCCGCATCTCTTCAAATCGCTCGCTCCTTAATAATTTCCGCATTTCCCTCCTAGCTCGCTCCATCTCAGCAGCCGTCCTCATTTGCCCTCTTATTCCTCGATCCGCGCCCCCATTTGAAATTTCGACCCCAATCCATCTTTCCATGCCTCATCGTCGGTGCTCTTTTCTTTTCCTCACTCCTCCTTCGCACTGTGGACACGTTCTTCCGAATGCGTCCTCGCTCTATGTATCCGTGCTTCTTCTCTCCATGGCTCATCATTCTGCATCCCCACTCTTATGCTGCTTGCTTCTGCCTGCTTCAGCGTCCTGCTGCCTGCTGTAGCGTTCCGTGGCTTGCCGTTGTTGCTCCGTGCTGGTACACATCTGTGACTGCCTGCCTGCCGTGAGCTCTACGCTGGCGCTGCTTGTTTTTGTTGCCGCTCGATGTTCTGCGTATTGCTGCTTGCTCTGCTGCTGCTGCTGCTGCTGCTGCTGCTGCTGCTGACGCGGGTGCGCCCGGCCGCGGGCGCGAGCGCGCGGGGAGACGGACGCGCGCGAGCGCAAGCATGCGGGGCCCCCTTCCTCCTCGTGCCCCTCATGGCTTGCTGGCGTTTCTTTGGCTTCGTGCTTCTCTTTCCTGCCGATGCTGCCTCTTCCCGTTGCTGCCACATGCGCCTGTGACCTTTCCTCCTTGGTACCATCTTCGTTCCCCCTGCTCTTGCTAATTTTGCTTCATGTCCTCCTTGCCCACGTCGTCATTGGCTTCCTGCCTGGCGATTCGGCTCGGTATGCTGTTGTTCCTCATCCTGCTTCTCTCGTTTACGTAGCCGCCGCCTTCTACACTATACACCCTCGTCTGGACTCGACGTCGTCGTCCTCCTCGCCAGGGTGTGGCGTGGCTGTTTGGGACACGGGTCATATGGAAGAACACCAAGTGGACGATCGCCGAGCGAATAGAGGTTGGAGTAGTCTTCGGGGCTTGTCATCGGCGGGGCCTCGCCGTGAAGGCGGTGGTCGACGCAGCGAAGCGATTGGGACGAGAATCGATGTGCGCGGCGCGCGAGAAGCGACTCCAGCGGCACAGTCACACAAGCAGCGCGCAAGAGATGGAACGCTGCAGGGAAGGAGCGTAGCATGCGCAGACTGCAGGGGGCCCTGGGTTCACGGCGCGCGATTGGCAGGTGTACGAGTGCACGGGCGTTTGCATGAGGACGTTCCCGAAATCCGCGTTTGCGGGGGGGGGGGGGGGCATGTTGGACGCACCGCCAAAAGAGGCAACTTGATATGCAGGTCGTGCGGATGATACCTGTTCAGGTGGACATTTGGAGGGGAGGGAGTTGACAAGGGCGTCGAATGGACCGAACGCGAGCTATTTGTGTGTGTGTGTGTTTGTGTTGTGTTTGGGGGATGCTGAGAAGGAGGAGGAGGACGAGGAGGAGGAGGAGGAGTAGGAGGAGAAGGAGGATAATGAAGAGGATGAGCAGGAGGAGGAGGAGGGAAGAGGCGAATGAGGAGGAGGATGAGGGAGAGACATTTGTGGGCCATTTGGGCTCGTCTGGGATCGACGTGGAGCCGCGTTGTAGGTATCCCAAAATCCAGAGCGCGAAGGTGGAAACATCGGCGGGTGGGCAAGAACGAGGCGGTTATCTGAGGATGCGGGAGAGGGGGATGATGAAGATGTTGCTGCTGATGCTGATGCTGCTGATAATGATGCTGCTGATGATGGTAATGATGATAATGATTGGTGGTTGCTGGTGGGTGTGGGTGATGGATGATGGATGGTGATGATGGTAATGATGATGCTGATTATGATGCTGATGAAGGTGGTGGTTGTGGTGATGCTGATGATGATGACGATGGCGACGACGACGACGATGCTGATGATGCCGCTGATGATGGCGATGATGATGATGCTGATGATGATGATGCTGAGGAGGAGGAGGAATGCTGATGCTGATGATGATGATTGTGACGATGATGCTGATGATGATGCTGATGCTGATGATGATGATGATGATGATGATGATGCTGATGCTGATGATGATGATGATGATGCTGATGATGATGATGATGATGCTGATGATGATGCTGATGATGATGATGATGATGATGATGATGCAGAACACGATGATGAGGAGGAGGAGGGGAGAGAGGTCTCGTGGGGCCATCTGAGCTTGGCTGGGGCCGATTGGATCGGGTTTGGGACGTTCCAGCATCCAGAGCTCGAAGCTGAATATTCGGTCGGCGGATGGGCAAGACGAACATCAGGAAACTCCTGAGAGCAACGAAGAGCTTCCTTTTGTCAACGCTGCGTGCCGAGCAGAGCTCAGCCACGGTAGGGCCGTGCAGGCACAGCCCAGGGCCATCATGAAGCTTCTTGGACGCTTCTTGCGACGTGTCGGAGAGCCTCTGGGGGGCCCGACATTGTCGAGAGTCTCGGCATTGTCTTTTGTGGCCGCCTTGGCCCTCAAAGCGCAGACGATGCCCACTAACGCTTGGCAGCGACAGGCATGCTGCGACGGACCCCGTCGTCAATGCAGGAGGCACCACCGCAAGATAATGGGGCGACGCAGAGCTAGATAGACGTTAGAACGAAGGTGGCCTATCTTGGGGCGTCCTGGGCCCCTCCTGGGGCTTTTGAGGCTCTCTCGCGGGTTTGTCGAGATTATGCGGGCCATCTTAAAAGGCAGATGCTCGAACTGTCAAATCGCGTTTCCGTTCCGAGGCCCTCTTGGGGCTTTCTTGAGCGCCTTTTGGGCCGTCTTGGGGGCTTTCTCGGGGCTCTCTTAGGGCTTAGGGGGGCTCTTCGGCTGATCTTCGGGGCCGCTTGAGTTGTCTTGGAGAGCTGGAAGCCCAAACGAGCGAGAACGCTGAAATTCTTCAAACGTTCTGAATGCTGTTTCGTGGGGCGCCTCTTTGGGGCCTCTCTCGGGAGCCTCTTGGAGCTTTCTCTGGGCCTCTTGGTTGCCCCTCGGGAGCACGCTCGGAGCCTGGGGAGCCATCTGGGGGGGAGGTGCTCGAATTGTCAGTTCGTGCTCTCGCTCCGTGGCCCCTCCTGTCTTGGGGCCCTCTTGGGAGCTTGGGGCTCTGCGCTCCTTGGCCGTCTTGAAGGGGATTCCGGGGCCGTCTTTGGGCGATCTTGGAGGCTCCTCGGGCCGCCTTGCAACCTCGGAGGCGCGAAAGGGCGAGAACGCGAAAAACCATCAAAAACTATCGGGTATTGAAGATGTTGGCATAGTGGCCCTCTCCTAGGCGTCCCCTCGAAGCTCTCTTGGGCCGTGTTCGAGCCCTCCTGGGCCACGTAAAGATTGAGCCGACTTGCGTCGATCTAGACCGTCGTGGAGGCACGTTGGGGCTGCATTGGGCTCTAATGGGACCGTCGTGGCCCGGTTGAAGACTCCGAGTGGTGCCGTCTAAGAGCTTCAAACGAGCCCCGGCTAAGCCCGGACCCCCACCCCCCCCGTGAGTTCGGCCGCGGGTCTTCCGTGGCCGCCCCCCATCCCTTCAAACCTGCAATTGTGGACGCGGCGGGGGGGATTACGGGAGGGGCATTCGCACACGCCTGGAGACCCAATTAGGGGTCGGCGGATCAATGCTATGTCGGAGAGCTTGCTGGAGGCGTTCAGGGTAAGGCCAGAACTGAGGAAAGGAATCATGAGGGTGGAGCTCCTCTCCAGCAGCAGCGGCGAGGGGCTTGCCTGCTTGACCTACGCGTGGCCGCGCTCGGAGAGCTTCGTGCACGAGGAGCTGGAGCCCTTGTTGCCCCAGCTGGCTGCTCGTGGCGTCGTGGCCAACGCGCGCAAGCAGTGGCTCGTCGCTGGGGAGGACAGGTTAGTACAGGTTGGCGGCGCGCAGAGGGGGGTAGGGGGATGGGGGAAGGCTTCTTAGAAGGAGGCTGCTTCTTAGAAGCCTTCACCCATCCTTCTACCCCCTGTGCGCACCGCCAAGCAGGTGAACACGGTAGCCAGTCGCCAGTACCCGCAGATTCTGATGCCCAACACCTTCAGCCAGAGCAATTTGGCTGTGAACGCCGAGATGCTCAAGTGGGCGGCGGAACAGACCAGCCCTCGCGCTTGCGGCAACGACTTGCTGGAGCTCTGCTGCGGCAACGGAAATTTCACCTTGCCCGTCAGCGCGAATTTCGGGCGAGTGCTGGCGACCGAGATGGACAAGGTCGCCATCAGGAACGTGGCCGAGTGCAGCGTGTGGTCAGGGGTCACGAACGTGACCTGCGTACGGATGTCGGCGGCAGAGGTAGCACAGGCCCTGCGGGGCGACAGAACCTTTCGACGACTCCGCGACGCGGGCGTGGACATAAAGTCCATGGACTTTGGCACAGTGTTGGTCAACCCCCCGCGCGCTGGGCTGCGACGGGAAGAGCTGGAGGCCATCTCGGGCATCGACCGGGTGGTCTACATCAGCTGCGCCCCCCGGAAGCTGGCCAAGGACCTGCGCCGCTTGCCCGAGCACCGCGTCACCACCGCGGCCCTGTTCGACCAGTTCCCCTTCACGAGCCACGCGGAGGTGGGCGTCGTGCTCGAGCGAGGCTAGCAGCGCTGCCGAGCGCGGTCTCCACGACCTCGGGGCGGCCCCTGCACGACCCCTCCGAGCGCGCTCTCTTCAGCGCCGCGGCCGCCGGCGAGCCGAGGCCGAGTTCGCCGCGGCCGCGGCCAGGCCAGCGCGCGGCCGCCCACGCGCTCCGCGGCGCAGGGCGCGGCCGCAGGGCCGCGCGCCTCGAGAGCGCGGGGCACCGGCCAGCGCACTGCGGCGCCCGAAGGCTGCCCCGGGCGCGGGCGCTCGGCGCGGCCCGCCCGCAGGGCGAGCGCTCGGAGGTGGCCTCGGCGCGCCGCCGGGGGCCGCGCAGACCGCGCGGGCGGCCGCCGGCGGGCGCGGCGCCGCGGCGGTGCGCGGGGGCGCGGTGCGGGTCGGAGCCGCACGGGCGGCCGCAGGCGGGCGCGGGCGGCAGGGCGGCCGCCGAGCTCTGGCCGGACGGGGATCGCGGAGCCCGCCCGCCGTCGGAGGTCGGGGCGGGACGAAAGGGTGGGGTGCTGTTGGCCACGGCATCCCCAAGCTTCTGGAACTCTGTTCTTGGGACCCCCGACCCCACGATTTGTCGCCCAAAATCGACCGATACTCCCCGCATCCCCAGGCTTCTGGAACTCTGTTTTTGGATCCCCGACCCCTCGGTTTGTCGCCCAAAATCGACCGATACCCCCCTCCATGCCCCCCACCTGCCGAAACGACAAAGTACCCGGTTGGAAGGACGGGGTCGGGAGAAATGATCGGGTCGCCCGCACAGTCGCGAATGCCGAGCGGGCTCATTGCACAGTCGTGCCCCCCGTATCCTCCCAATCCCGTCCTCCCAACTCGATCATTGTCTTTCTGGGCCGGGCGCGGTCCTGGCCCCAACGTTGCGCTTCTTTTGCGAGGCCCCGTCTGGGCCTCGCAAGTGCTCTGGAGGCCATCTGGGCCTCCCTGGGGCTCCTGAGGACACTCAAGTTTGATCTGAGGCACCTCTGGGAAGACCCGAAGCGGGTGGGCGGGTGCGGGGCGGGGGGGGGAGCGAGAATTGTTGCGCGCAGCTGGTTGTGGCCCCACCGCCAGGGGCTCTCAAGCTCCCAGCCCACGGGTTATGTCACATATGTCAGATGCAGCCTGGGTGCGAACGCCCGTATGCTGGAGGGAGATCGCGCATTCGCCCCGTGCGCCCTGATCCCAGGCCCCCTCCGTCTTCGGAGAGGTATGTTCTCCTCGCTGGCTTGGCCGAACGGACGAGGAGGAGGAGGAGGAGGAGGAGGAGGAGGAGGAGGAGGAGGAGGAGGAGGAGGAGGAGAGAGGGAGGAGGGAGGAGGGAGGAGAGAGGAGGGAGGGAGGAGGGGGAGGAGGGAGGAGGAGGAGGAGGAGGAGGAGGAGAGGAGGAGGAGGAGGAGGAGGAGGAGGAGGAGGAGGAGGAGGGAGGAGGAGGAGGAGGAGGGAGGAGGGAGGAGGGAGGAGGGAGGAGGGAGGAGGGAGGAGGGAGGAGGGAGGAGGAGGGAGGAGGAGAGGGAGGAGGGAGGAGGGAGGGAGGGAGGGGAGGGAGGGAGGGAGGAGGGAGGGCGGGCGGGCGGGCGGGCGGGAGAGAGGAGAGGGAGGGAGGGAGGGAGGGAGGAGGGAGGGAGGGAGGGGGAGGGAGGAGGGAGGGAGGAGAGGAGGAGGAGGGGAGGAGGAGGAGGAGGAGGAGGAGGAGGAGGAGGAGGAGGGAGGAGGAGGAGGAGGAGGGAGGAGAGGGGAGAGAGGAAGGAGGAGGAGGGATGATGATGATGATGATGATGATGATGATGATGATGATGATGATGATGATGATGATGATGATGATGATGATGATGATGATGCTGCTGATGCTGATGCTGCTGATGATGATGATGATGATGATGATGATGAGGAGGAGGAGGAGGAGGAGGAGGAGGAGGAGGGAAAAGGGAGGAGGAGGAGGAGGAGGAGGGGAAAGGGAGGAGGAGGAGGAGGAGGAGGAGGAGGAGGAGGAGGAGGAGGAGGGGAAGGAGGATGAGGATGAGGAGGGAAAAGGGTGGCGGAGGAGGAGGAGGAGGAGGGGGAGAGAGGCGAATGGAAGAGGGAGGACCGATGCCTCCGTCAGCGTGGTTGTCCAGCGCGCGGGCACCCAGAGCCCAACGTCATGGTCGGCGGGAGCGGAGGCCCTCGCTGGCCGCCCAACGGCACGGGGTCTCCACACCGCTTGGTGAGTCAGTGAGGCTGCGTGGGGCCCGGGGGCACACAGACAAGCAGACCCGCATCCCAGAAGTCCCCATCCGCTTCCCCACCCGCATGTGTTCTGGAAGTTCGTCTTCCCCCTCCACTTCCCACGCTGTCCCGTCCGTTCCTGGGAATCGTTCTTCCTTTGTGTTGGTGTGCGTTACCCCTCCTGAGAGGTTCTGGGATGGCCACACCGTTTGGGGACTTAGGTCCTTTTTCCGAGGATGCCTCAAGCGACTGGGGTCTCCAGGGTCCCAACGCCGTGCAGTGATTGACGTGCGTTGAGGTCTTCGGGACATCGAGGTCACCGCACGGTGTTTCATCGCACTGCTCCGGACCCCCAGGCTCAGTCGGCAGCAGGAGGCTGGAGCGGCTGTTGTTGCTATTGTGTTTACCACGGCCCCAGGGTTCAGAAACGGACAAGAGAGGCAGAGAATGTCAAGCAGCATAAACAAAAGCTTCACTTATGTTTGTTCGTGTTGGAGGGTTGACCCCTTCCTTTGGACCAGCTTTTCACTGCGTGTCGTGTTCTGACGGCCCCAGTGCCCCTAGAGGCGAAAGAGATCAAGAGTTCTCCGTCGCGATTGCTGTTCACGACGCGAGGGGGTCTGGAAGGAGAGGGTAGATGGCAGAGGAGCCTTCGGCCGCCTCCCCGCAATAAGACATGCAGTCGAACTACGACGCGAACGTGATGCAGACGCGCTCTGGTGTGATCGTGCTCTCTATTCGCCGTGGCCCTCGCAATCGTGGGCCCCCACGCCTTGGCGCCAGTCAGACGTGGGCACGGGCCGAAACTGCGGCCCGATTCCGCTCGGAAGTCAGAGTGGAACACTGCGGTCGGCGATGCGGGGGAGCGCGCTGGGGCCTCCCCTCGCGTGCCCGCCCACCGTCCCGGGCCCCCCCTCGCGTGCCGCCCCCCGCGCAGGCCGACCGACCGGCCCAGGCAGCGTCCGCCGTGTCCTCCCCGGAGGTCCGCCTCCCCGCCCAGGGCCAGCGTCTCGTCCTGAGCCGTTCTCGGACAGCCCTTGGGCCCAGTGGGGCCCCCGGTGGGGCCGAGGAGGGGCAACGGCCCTGCGCTGTGATTGTGCCGCAGCGAGGAGGCTCTCCACGCCTCGCGCCTTCCCCCCCCCCCCGCGTCCAGACCCTGGGGAGGGGTGGGGGAGGGCCCCCCTCCCCGAAGGGAGGGTGGGCTTCAGGCAGAGGGAAGATGATGGGCCGATGTTCCACCACCACCGCTTCCACAGGTAGGAGAGGGATGAGAAAGAGGAGGAGGAAGAGGAGGAGGAGGAGGAGGAGCAGGAGGAGGAGGAGGAGGAGCAAGAGGAGGAGGAGAAAGACGAGGAGAAGAAAGAGGAGGAGGAGACAAGCTTGCTATCACAGCCAGCTCAGGCCCCCTGCTCAAGAGGGCCAAGGAAGTTCTGGGAACAGTTGCAGGGGATGCAGTGCCGTCAACTTCTCACCTAGGCATCGACTTCGCATCAGGAAAGCATAAGCGGCGCCCTGGGGCCAATACGACAAGGAGAGCACGATGGGCCAAAACGCACTCGCGATTCTGTCGTCTTCGGGGCGTTAAAAGCAAGAAGCCGAAGGATAGGGTTCGTTTCTTTGTTCCTGGAGTTCGGTCAGCTCTCTCGTACGGTGGGAAGGTCCACGGTTACACGCCCGCTGAGATAGATAGGCTACGCTCTATGACTAGGATTGCTTCAGGACGCCAGCTTAGAGGAGCAAGGACCGACAGATGGTGGGAAGTACAAGAGGTGGCAGACCCTCTTAGTCTAGCATCCAGCAATTTGGAAAGATACTGTACGGAGTGGTGGAGGGTTACGTCAGGTAGAGCAGAGTTTGGCATGCATGCAAATGGGCTAGATGCTAAGGAACTCAGGACCCTCTTTGTGGCTGTGCAAACCAAGTTCCAGGACCCAGGGAACACTTCGTGGTTAGGACGATCGGCAGGACCCATTTCAGACATGCTGCTTTGGGTTCAGAGGGCGGGCTGGCACATCGACAACCCGACCACCCTCCAGGCCAGAGTGGGGGGCAGCATCGATATCCTGGAGATTCCGCCAGTTTCGATTGTCAAGCAGTTCGCGGAGGACCTCAAGGAACAACAGTCTAGCCAGGTTGTAGGCATCGAAATGAGTGCTCTCCCTCGCCCCCCTCCTCCGCTAGTCGGACAGGAAGGGGGTGTGGACTGGGTCCAGGTCCGCAGGGGGCTAGGCACGCGCGAAAGCAGCTCACCCCCGACGAGTACACCAACCTTAGGCGCCACATTTGCGGCTCCCTTATCACAGGTAAGGTTCTGTCAGGCTGGGGTTACGACCTACAACCGTATTGTCCTTACTGTTTGGAGGTGGATACACAGTACCACAGGCTATGGACGTGTCCCTTCGGGAAAGAGTTCAGGGAAGAAATCATGGGCTCTGATGTTATCGAAGGGGCTTCAGAAGACTCGTGTTTCTATTCGCACCTCTGGCCTCCCAGAATGCAGTTCGAACCGCTGCTGGAAGAATGGGATACCCGGTATGTAGATGCCAATGGGCCTTGCGACCCCTTCGAGCTCGAACCTTACAGCGAAATCTTCAGGGATGGTTCGTGCTTTGACCCCGAAATTCGCCACCTTGCCCGTGCAGGTTCGTCCGCAGTAGAATTGAACGAGGACAACTCACTCAAGCGGGCAAACTTTGGGGGCTTGCCGTCTTTCGGGGAGCAGACCGCAGTCGACGGGGAGCATGGGGGGCTACTCATGGCAGCACTGTACTCCGAAGCAGCCTCCACAAACACTTTCGTTGTAGATTGTGCGG